ATGCAGGTTAGGTGACGGGTTCTTTACGTAAGCTATATCACACGTCACCGAATCGCACCTTTTCGCAAAATGTCCAGTGTGGCGTGTAGTAACGGGGAGGACGCATGAAAAAACAAACAAAAAGAAACCTTTGCGTAGGTTGCACTATTGGTGCAATGTTTAAAAGACAGAGGAACGATGGGCAGCTAGGTATACTTGGCTGTTACTTCCCTGCAGAGCTTTTCAAATTTTTTTAGATCTTTCTCTATTTCTTTCTTTTCTATCTTCTCTGTTTTTGGTGTAGGTAATTTTTGTCCCTTCTTATTTCTAGTTATTTCTATCTCTTTCTCTGCTTACTTCTTTGACTTTCAGACTTTCCGCTTTTTCATTGCCTATTATATCTTTGTGTATTTTGCTCTTCCTCTTTCGCTCTATCTCCATCTCTGGCTTTTTCTTTCGCTCCCTCTTTTACCCCGATTCTGTCTTTCTTTCATTCCGTTTCTGCCTTACCATCCTTCTATTTCTATTTCTACTGCACCAGGGTGTAAAGCAAAAAAAAAAAAAAAAACGTTGCTTCGATGCAGTCATACTCTTTATCTTGGAGCCAAGGCTACAGAGGTGGGGCATTCACACACCTCTGATAATATGTAATTATAGCCCGGCAGCGTGCTGCTGATATCATTTCCAGTTTTGACCTAGCTTGCTCTCAGCATTTAGGCTGATGACACGTTATGCACAGTGCATGGCCGCATTGTTATTGTGTACACCTTCTTGTACCTACAATGCGCTAAAGCAGTTAAATGCATTACCAAAACGTTCAAGTCTGAATGCTATGTCTTGATATGAGACTGAAGAAACAGTGAAAATTTTCAGATGTACTTTTGTGCTGTAGATTAACACGAATGGTCATACGCACCTCCTTTATAAAACAAAATACTCGCCAGGAACTGCTTGTGCAGTAGCAAACTGAACAAGCAGAACAACAACAACAAAAGCAAGAGAAACATCAGCAATTAGCCGACGACATATTTCTTGTTTTAACGTTTTCATTTTGTACCTGCGTTGCATGCTCCTGCAGTAAAACACAGTCACAGGTCACTGACCTCACATCTGCCGCTATATGCACATGTGTCCAATAAAAAGTAGACATAAAGGCTGTCGCCCATTATGAAGCGAAGCTTTCAGGTATCCCAAAGCCGCCTGAGTTTCCGGGTTTTTCAGTGGGAGGGCAACATACGCACACACGCGTGCACACAAACGTTCATGCGCACACGCGCTCACGCACACCCACATGGTTATTAAAGCTGTAGGGAATATATTTTACAACGGCACAGGGACCTTTTATTGTGAAGGTATCGCTGTCAACCTGTTCGCTTTATGGTAGATAGGGTACATTTATTTACGATTACTTGTTTGTGTGCAGACCAAGAATATGTGTGAATATACAGCTATTTAACTTTCCATCGGGCTGAGGACTTGATTGATTGATATGTGGGGTTTTAACGTCCCAAAACCATCATATGATTAAGAGAGACGCCGTAGTGGAGGGCTCCGAAAATTTTGACCACCTGGGGTTCTTTAACGGGCACACAAATCTGAGCTCATGGGCCTAGATTTCCACCTGCATCGGAAATGCAGCCGCCGCAGCCGGTATTCGATCCCACCTCCTGCGGGTTAGCAGCCGAGTACCTTAGCCACTAGACCACCGCGGCGGGGCAAGCTGAGGACTTCATTGTGGCTCTAAGTTTAAACAAGAAATCTTCTGGTATCTTTGAGTTACATCAAAGGGAATCGGAAGAAAAATTATATTTTTGGTACCCCATAAAAATGTTGGCATCATCGAACTCAACGTTTCTATACAAGGCGGTTACATTAACTTGCCCAAAGTATTCTTGGTTAAAAGTCAAGATTAGTTCATTTCCAATAATAGCCTCGTCAAACGCTCGACGGCTTGGCATCCCGGGGTGTCAGGGCGGCAATTGAGCTTTCACTTGCGCCTCAGTGTCACTATACACCGTCAATATGTAGCATATTTGTGTATAAGAATGTTACGTGATGGGGAACATGCTGCGTGTGGAAACATCTGGTGTCGCGAAGGTGATAGGTCGTGTCTTCCGCGCAGAACTGCAGAACGCGTGACATAAGGCTTATTAGTTTGTCCATTTATCCCAATGTGGGCTCGATTATGTCCCCATAGCTAATGTGATTGGCATTCGGGGTAGTGAGATTTGTGAATTTATGCGAGCATCTGAAGGGGCCCGGAGGAAGGAGTGCTCTTAGTGCTGTTTTTGAGGTGTTCTTCCTGCGTGAAACAGTTTTTTTTTACTTCTGGCTTACGAAGTACTCACCCGTACAAGCCTCGAGAAATGCAGTGATAAACATTTGGTGGTCTACTAAGTCGACTGTATTGAGAAGTACAATAGCCTCTCCAGTGTCAGCGGGTTTTATTGTTATGCCTGTCCCAGTTTCCAGACTTTTTTTCAAGTACACCACGGAGATTCTATTAAGTGTTCCCACCAACCTACCTGTGTGCGATACTCCTGTGCTATGCATTTACGAAATCCAAACAATTGTCGGGGTGAGAGATTGGTGTCTCATACTCTGTTTGGAGGCTTACTTAAAAAATATTCGCGCAGTATCATATTTCCACCAATGTTATCGGCGTATCGATGTCAGTAGAACTCTTCGAAAAACCTTGTGGCTGGGCAGACATTCAGTCCTTTGGATAGGGGCTTCACATCGTGAGCTGATAAGGTCATGTCTGATAAGTTTAGCATCGCGGTATGGTAGGGCGTGTTGGCAGAGGGGTCATCTTTCGCTACGGTAAAGGCTAGCTGGGTTGTCGCCCTATTGCTATATGGTGTTATAATTGGCAGCGCAAGCTTTTAAATTTGTCCTTTTCAAGTTTGCGTGCCTTGGGTGTAACAATGTTTTGGCAGCGTTCAAACTAGATCGGCTGCTGTTCTTACAAATTAAGTAAGACTAATGCCTCCTTTAATAAGGAGTTACTTAACCTAGAGTGGGGTTCATCGCAGTAATTAGCACTTATATCTCTTTTCAAGTGTCGTTCATATTGATTCCCGTTGTTTTATATGCATTTAGGTAAACTGACAAGGAGGGTTGTATAGTTTTTACGGGGAGGACACCTTCTAACAATTGGGGAATGGGCAGGCAAAGTGCCGTTTTGCTCTCAGCCCACCTCAGCCTCGAAAAAAATATTTCGAGGCTGAGGTGGGGCACGGGCCCAGAGTTTCAATTCCAGACTACTCATCTGCTGACAAGCGGAGAAAGGGGCGTCATCGCATCTTATGACAAACAAAAATTCAGTGCATATTCGCGGAGTGAAGGACGATAAGTGGGGTGAATCATCTGTCCAACCGTCCGTCCGTCCATCCGTCCGTTCGTCCGTCTGTCTGTCTGTCGGTCTGCCAGTCAGGCAGTCTGTCTGTCTGTCTGTCTGTCTGTCTGTCTGTCTGTCTGTCTGTCCGTCCGTCCGTCCGTCCGTCCGTCCGTCCGTCCGTCCGTCCGTCCGTCCGTCCTCTCCTATCACACTAGAACACGCGTTGGACGGATGTACGAACGGACGCTTCGCCCCACCTACCATCATCCACTCCGTGTATAAGGCGATTTTTTTTTCTTATAACAGTACCATCTATCCTCTTTACACGTGAACTATACGAAAACCACTTACCCGATCTAGTAATACTATATCTAAGGGCATATACACAACGCGCCATCTAGTGTGCAATTTATTAACCAGAGGTGGCTACATACATACTACATAGAAACGGAGGAGGGAACGACCCAGACCCTAAGAAGCTTCGCTCCTAAAACATTTATTTCCTATTGGTATCAAGATAACATTGATTCTGACAAAAAATTCCTGAACACAAGCATAATGTCGGCTTTCAAAAAAGCGCGTCCAAAGCACATAGACCTGCAATGAAACATTTTATTACGAATTCGAAATTCATTTTTATTTATCTTAGAAATTTCACCATTTGCTATCTGCTGCTACTGCCTGCACGCCCTTGGTCATCCACAAGAACGGGTGTTCTCTTCCCGCACTGTTTTCTTTTATTTTTTATTTATTTCTCTACACAATTTCCTCTTCACCGGCTTGCTTCTGTGCAAAAATTGAACCCCTCAAATTTTCTTAATCATTGCTTGAGCTCGAAACAAGCAAGAACGAAAAAGATAAAGGATTTTAGCTGTAAAACAGACACATTCAAAAACTCCTTTTTTCCGAGAACAACGCGTGAATGGAATCGACTTCCATCCAATGTAATTGATTGTACTACACTTAATTCTTTTGCTAAAGCATTGTCAGATTATCTGTAATTTTTTCGGTATCTTGGTCGTCACTCCGCTTTCCTAGTATCGCGACTTCTGCAAACTGATATGTGATTGTGAAACAATAATGTTGTTCTGATGTTTTTTTTTCTTTTTTTGTTGATGTTGCGTGTGTCACATTGTAGCTCTGTTTTGTTTAGCGGTGCACCTCGGTCCAGATTTCTCCTGCTCTTTCCAGTCATGTCTTGTATATTATTAATAGTTTTTATCAGTGTAGGTCTGGCTTGGTACCAAACAAGTTGTTAAAAGTACCTGCTGTCACTTTGTTGATTGCGTAATTGTATATTTTTTGTTTTTATTTTGTTCCCGCTCATTGTTGCGGTTGTTTTGTGGACGTATTTGCGTATGTTCTCGTATTCTTTTATTTGTTCTGCCCGCTCCTGCCAAAGGCCTTTTTTAAAGGCTGGCAGTAAATCTGAAAATAAATAAATAAATAAATAAACTAACTGAGCGTGATGGCTGGTGGCATGGCTGAAATTCTAAGAGTGGACATAATTAGCAATATTTTGTTTATGTATTTAAAACGCCCTCAAGGTACATGCAGTATGTTTAGAAGGAAGGGAGAGAGTATACACAATTCTATGTAACACGGCAAAAGTAGGAAGAGAGGAGGAGGAAAAAACGCATATCATTCGAGTACAGCGTCAATGTACAATAAAGAGAAATAGTAAATTACGAAACTTTCTTTAGTATCAACCTAATATAAAGGTATGCGATCAAGATGTACTGAATTAAGTAATTATGTCGCACTTCTTTTTGCGTTGCCTGCTGCAGGAGCAAGCCATCCACTGAAAGCATGTAACTGGAGTCTGAAAAGCAGAACAGGGTGAGGGAAGAAATAGCGATTCTAATTACAACGAGAAGTAACGCAGACATTCATGCAGAAATTTGTTCTAAACTCATTTTGTCATAGAACGTTTAAGGTGAGTTGTCCGCGTGCACGATTACAGTGCCTAAACGCGGCATACAATAACGCAAGCAGTGACAGCCCTCAGCAAGTTTAAATTTATAAACGTCATGTACGATTTAGGTGTGAAATCAAATACTACAAAGCCATATTCAGTTCACGTCTTGTTGCTGCTATCGATCTTAGTTGATAAAAAGACAGCATTCACTGTAAATTAAGCGACACGCTAAGGTAATGCGGTTTGCAGAAGGAGACAGCGTGGAGAGGATGACAACGCTATAGAGACAGCCCCTAAGTGATTGGAATGTCACTACTTAGTAATCCTTAAGAAATAATGTGTTGGGTATGAGGGAAGGATGGACTATTAAGTTAGGCTTATTCGTATACTGTGAAGCACGTGTAACACAGACGTTCTGATCTCCTTACTATAAGCATTCCCAGCAAGAATTCAAGTAAGAGGTGGGGGAAATCAGAGCCGCTTTTTTAGTGGTTCAAATGGTGGTTTGAAACTCGCGATCCGGAATAAGGAGCAGAATGTCGCTATACTTGGTTACGCAATGGTGAAAATTGTGAAAGTAACATATTGCACATAAAGGTGTTCAAATATCATCACTTATTTTAGGCAGGAAATGAGGAATCATGTGAGGTTGCCATAGAATGAGTAAGGTAACGAACTTATTCTGTTGTTTTAGTGTATAAAAGGGAGAAAATTAAGGTGATTGTTGTTCTAATACTCATATGGCGATTTTCGTCTGCGTCAAGCCACTTCAAATCCCATGCTGATATAAGGGGTGTCCCAATAATCACGCGGCATGATTACAAAGAAATAAGGTACAGCGTTACGCGACACAGACGTAGTATATAATAAATGCCTGATGTATGCATATTGTGCGATGCCCGTGCGCGTTCAAAAACCCCACATGGTCAAAATTTATATAGCCCTCGGTTATAGTCCCCCTTAACTATGTCGTTGCTTTGAACCGTTAGACCATTCTCATGGCTTTCTCGCGACACACTGGGTTGTGTGGCATTTGGTGACAGACCTCTACAATTTAGGACATGCTCAGGTAGAACAATTGCTAACCAGGCCGGGCTAACCACGTTTGTTAATCACCACAACCACCACCACCAATTATTAAACTTGGTGTATATTGTTCCCAATGGGCTTAGGAAACTTTTCGTAAATATGAAATAATTAATTTGTCATAATTGTCTTTACGACTCAATAAGTACTCATGCAATTATCCAAATATCAATGAGGCATATGTATACGCATGTTTAAATGATATGTAACTGCACTATTTTCAACAAAGTACTAATTGTGTGCTCATTTTTTCCCCAGAAGCCAAAGAAACCCCGCAGATATGAAAGAAAACACTCACGTGATTGTGCTCTCAACTAAAATTACAAAGTAGCGCTAAATAACCTCACTACAAGCAACCGTTTTGGCCGTTGTCCGTTGCTACAAAGGGCGTTCCTCACTTTCACAAGGGCATATATACACGTTGCGAGCCCACAAAAGTTGCAATGTTATTATATAGATTCCTTTCGCTCAATTGCACGCCACTATCATCGTCCATATCTCACGACCGACTGTTCTCATTGATAAGGAGGCTGGAGTACTAGGCACATTACGGCTTGACTCTGTAATACCAAAGGCGCACGTTTCTTTAGCCGGGAACTGGCACATAGGGTGATATATAACTTGTTCCTTTTTGCACTTTTCTCTTAGCATTGCGTATACCTCGCAACCAGCCTGTTTCAGGGCGCTGCTTTCTGATGCGCGCAACAGATACCCGTGGGTCACTTTCCAGATATCGCGGGGTTTTTTTGTCTACCGGGTGAAAAGAGCAAGCAATTAGTGCGCTGTAGAAAAGGCGCAGTTAGATGTATTTTGAACGTGCCTATACACATGCATAATTGACATTTTGATGATTGAGTGAGTGCTTGCTGAGATAGAAATACAGTTTTGACTAAATAATTACTCCGTTAACGAAAAGTTAAGAAGTGGCTCTTTGCTGTGGACTATCAACAATATGCAAAAAAGTTGCTTGGTGTGACACCGTTCCTATTGTGCATAAAATAGTGCTGCGTGATGGTTGGGAAACCCAGCATATCTTGCACCTTGCTGCAAGGCACTGTGCGCAGAATAAGTTCTTGCTTTTGATTTCATCGTTAAAGTTTATATATGTCATCCAGAAAAAAAATACATATTTTTTGCTGTTCATGTGGTTTGAAAGCAAGGCGTACTCACCCAAAATACCAGAAGACCAAACATGAACATTGACCCGTTCCTATACCCAAACCTTTCTACAAGATATCCAGCTATAGGAGGCGTCAAAGTAGCCCTGTGGAAAGTAGGAAACACTGAGTGCTCGTATTTAATTTGCAAATGGTGGGGCGAATAAATGTCGTATGTATGCACAGTGAAAAAAATTTAAAAAAATTAAACCTGCGCTTAGCTTTTATTGATCATAAATTGCTGTTTACTGAAGGCACTAATGTTCTAGCATGGCTGAAGATAGACTAGACGAACGTTCTTCGCCATTCTGTCCGAGTGAATGTGTACTACAATATCTAGAGATAAACATGCGTGCACCTTGACCAAAACCACTGAAAGGTATATATGTAAGTTTAAAAAACAATGCTCTTAAAACGATGAAAATGTTTGGAGGTGGTTTCACCAGTGTTTCATGTCTTGGTGGCGCACTTGACTCTAAACAATTTTTCTTTTCTAGACCGTTGTTGCTGCGAAATGAATTAGCGCTTCAAGCTTAAGTGAATCAGAATATGAAAAGCAAATGTAGATCAAGAGATAGGTGCCAAATAATAAAAAAAGAAAGAATAGGCTCACCCGAAGACAAGACTTGTAACAACGACGGTGGAAATGAAAGACGTCGTTTTTATATCGTCTGAGTATCCTCTTGCCCTGCAAATAGATGGATTTGTTATCTGAGCACAAAAACTGCTAGGCACTAACTGTATTATAAACAATTCTCCATCACTATATTGTCTTCATACAAGCGTGCTCATTCTTCGTGTTGTAATAGTATAAACAATAATGAGCGAGGCACCAGTGACAAGGAAGTTTCTTCATAAAGGCAGTGAAATGGCCTAGACTTGGCTCGCTGAATTTAGGTATCTCTGAAGGCTTGAGTGAACCATCGCGAATGCTGGCGACGGGAAACCTGAAAGGAAACTCTGAGCTTATCACTATCACATTACTCCATTTCACATCACATTACACTATGCCATTACTTCATTACAGTGTGACATAAGGGGTGGTTGCAGGATGTACACAAAAAGCCCTAACCGCGCACGTTTTCAAGAACTTAAAAAGTCCTTGCGTCCACCGCGGTAGTATAGCTGTTACTGAACTCAGCTGTTGACCCAAAGATCCTGGATTCAATGCAGCGGTGGTCGCATTTCGACGAAGGCGAAATATTAGAAACACGTGTACTGTGCGAAGAAAGTGCACGTTAAAAAGCCACTTAACTGGCTCCAATTTATCGTTTACACCCGCTAAAAATCTCGGCAATTGGTAGAGTATACGCAAAGTCATAGAGTATACGCAATTCGTAGAGTATACACAAAATCACCGATCGGCGACTTGACGTAGCACGCTGCTCGTCGATTGGTCTAAACCAGTCACGATGAAGGACAATGCCTTCCCTTCCCTTCCCATTGAGAGAGAAGGGTGGTGAGGCCACGCGAAAACTTGAAACCAGCTTAAAACGATGTTCTAGGGCCCCTGTAACTTCCTTAATATATAGCACGTAATCGCAAAATTCTTGAAGAAGCATGTTCAAAAAGCAAAAGTGCGCATACTTCTCTTTATAACAATTTTTGGACCTCGGGGTTGTTTACTGGCCCTTTAAAGAACGCCAGATGGTCGACATTTTCGGAGCCTTCTACTACGACGTCTGCATGCCATAATAATATCGTGGTCTTAGGACGTTAAACTCTACATATCATCAATACTATAAATAAAAAAAAGTTATTGCGTATTGACTAGCTATTACTGGACGGGGTATAACAGCAGCTTCAGGAGGAATGACATTTACCTGTTTACGCGCTCGGCGATAGCATAAGGCTTAAAATTTATGTATAGGTGCTTGTTAAAAAAGCCGCCCCGCCACGGTGGTCTAGTGGCTAAGGCACTCGGCTGCTGACCCACAGGTCGCGGGATCGAATCCCGGCGGCGGCGGCTGCATTTCCGATGGAGGCGGAAATGTTGTAGGCCGGTGTGCTCAGATTTGGGTGCACGTTAGAGGACTCCCGGTGGTCGAAATTTCCGGAGCCCTCTACTACGGCGTCTCTCATAATCATACGGTGGTTTTGGGACGTTAAACTTCACATAACAATCAATCAAATCGTTAAGAAAGCCCGGGTAGTCAAAAATTTTAGCGCCATTCATGATGGCGTGCCTCATAATCATATCATTGTTCTTGCGTGCGAAATTTTTGTTATTGAATATGGAGAAAAGAGAGAGAAAGATGGAAGGAAATCGAGGAAGGTTATTCATACGCATGTCTGGTAACTAGAGGAGGTGAACTAGAATACGTCTAATTTGCTACCCTACACGTGGGAGCGAAAGTGGGAGAACGAGATGTACGTTGTAAACCACACACAGTGCAGCGTTTCACAGGCGTTATCTCGGTGATGTTGCCTTTAATAATTCTATAAAAGGGATCATGTGGCTTTCACGGCTGATGTACTCAAAGACCACGCACCCAGGAGCTTCCCTTTACTAAAGGGACGGCACGCTAAATCTTCACCTTAGTAAAAGGACGATCATCCAGTGGTGCACATCCAAGGTGCACTAGAGAGTCCGGTGATCTTCTTCGAAGTCGGGACAGTTTCACAACACGGGGTAAAGAGTCCCTACGCAGTTGCAGTTCACGCTTAGATGTACGCTCAAACATATGTTTGTCTTGTTCATTGGATAACAAACGCCTTGTGAACAGTCTCACTCAAGGACACGGTTTCGCGAGTGATATGAGTGATAGCACCTTTGAAATAAGGAAATGGTGACATGTGATGATGACAGGACAGAAGTGGTAAGAAGGATTTTTCAAAGCGTAACACATGGCAGTACCAGGGTATAAAGAATGAATATATCTAGCCGCGCAATTTGGTACTTCCTGATATGATTTAAATAGATATGTTTGGTGGGAATTATAGATGTAATATGAATGTTGCAATGTCGTTCTTTATTTTTTTCTTCAGCGAAGTCTTTGCCGAAGGTGTAGCATGAAGTCTCTAAGTCTCCAAGTTGGCATGAAGTCTCTCATATACGGTTGTGTGTCGGAAGGTCCGACTGAGGAAGTCAGTGACCAAAGTTTCGCACTCTGAGCGTGCCAAAACGTACTCTCAGCGTCTTTCGGCTCATTAAAAAGCATCGCATGGTTTTTAATTCGTTTTCTTGCTCAGGGTTGAGGCACCTTTTAATACTCAAGTATATGCACTAAAGTACCCATTGTGAAAAAAACCGATGGTGAAATCCCCTAAGACCACTGAGTAACGTGCTGTGATGTTGGAATGAAGAACATGCTTCGAAAACAGGCTTATTGTTATTCTTCGTATAGAATTGCCCATAACTTTGGCAGACATGACAGAAAGAGTTTCGAAGTAAATTTATTTAGTTATTTTTTTGTATTACTTGACAATAACATTTCTGTACTGATGAGCCACATTTATGCAGTTAGATCAAGGCTTGGAGTTTTTACTGTAGAAAACCATTCCTTGGGAGCCTATCTTGAATGCATTATTTACACTCTCAGGCCCGGTAAAAAGGCGCATTATTGTGCGCTGATCTACTTGTTTGCTTACTAAGCGTGGCTACTGACATCCATAATTAAGTTGTGTTGCCGCAAAATGCAGACTGCACCTTGGGATTGGGTGAACACTGTTACGTACCGTTCCAATTAAGAAACTTACCCTGCGTGTTTGAGTGCATGGCAATAGCCGCTAACAAACTGAGCAGCCATGCCTGTTCCCGTGAACACTTGGGAAAGGTAAACCATCCACATAGATCTGAAGATAGAAAGGAAATTACAGAAAACTTCACCTTATTGAAGAGCGCAATAACTGCAATGAATAACCGGATACACTTTTAATCAGGTGCAGCTTGAAGTACTGTAGATATGACAAGTAAACCTGATTTTTTGTATGGTTTCTTGAATACAGCCACTATTTAGTCAGGACGTGATTAAGAGTGTAATTCAGCTATATTTCACAATGGTCTATAAAAACTTGATCTTTTTGGAAACCTTGATTATAATAGAAAACTCAACTTATTGTTTTCTTAGGAAATAATGAAAAGCTTTAACGTTTATTCATTTCATTTCATGTACAATAACTCATCCGAAACTATTTTCAATTTTTTTCTACTTACATGAATAATATAAATGGAGTTTAAATAAAATCCCTTGAATAGTGACTTCATTTAAGTCATTTAGTACACCACATTGTTGGGGCCTTGCTGTGCTCTGAAAACCAATTGTAATTATGTGCAAGGCAAAACAGCATAGCTGGCCAAAGGTAATTCGAAGTATTCCATTACATGTGCCTTCTATCATAGCACCAGAATGTTTTTTCAGGGGGGCGGGGGGGGCTAAGCCTCTAGTTAACTTTTGTCTATGCTTGGTGTACAACAAAATCATACCTGCTATGCTAAACTTAGCTGGGTTAGTTAGGCGTATGTTTAACGCTGTAATGCACTACTTATGGAGGGTGCGCCTTCTCAGAAAGCCTACAAGACAAGACATGTTCATAATTTGGTGTTTTCGAGTCTGAATCACAGTACCCGTGAAACATTCGATGACTTAGGTGAAACATATTAGCTCTTAAGTAGTTTCTAGTAATTAACGTTGTTCTATGTGTTTACTGTAGCAGTAGTATTGACGTAACTGTTGCTTGCGAAATAGCCTGCAGTTTGCTGAAATTACGCCGTATGAGTAATTAAAGTGACTTTTAATTTTATTAATTATAGTGCAATGTTCCAGGTCACACATGCATTTTATTTTATGCAAGGTTAAAAATCACGTGCACTTCTAATACCAAAGTACAGATAATTAAACTCGATAGAAGTACTCTTTACTATAAAGCCATACATATATGTTGCGCGACTCCTAGAAAGCCGCTCCCTTTGTTCTACATTGGGCTTTGAACAAATTTTGCTCACGCTTCAAATGAAAGAAATGGCGCTGGTCCTTGTAAAAGAAACACGAAAACCGTAAGAAATTGCCCCACAAAAGCGGAAAATGCATCCATCTGCAAAAGAAATAATGGTGACTGTAATCATCTATGTCTGTGTGTCAGAAAAATATTTTTTTATTGAAACAGCAATACGAGAGCTGGAAAAAAGAAGCGGTTGGTAACGTCACTTGCAACTGAATGAAACTAGGTACTCTGAGATAGATAGATAGATAGATAGATAGATAGATAGATAGACAGACAGATAGATAGATAGATAGATAGATAGATAGATAGATAGATAGATAGATAGATAGATAGATAGATAGATAGATAGATAGATAGATAGATAGATAGATAGATAGACCGACGGATGGACGGACGGACGGATGGCTGGCCGGATGGATGGATGGATGGATGGATGGATGGATGGATGGATGGATGGATGGATGGATGGATGGATGGATGGATGGATGGATGGATAGATAGATAGATAGATAGATAGATAGATAGATAGATAGATAGATAGATAGATAGATAGGCTCGAAATAGGTCTTCTGTACGTGGCGTGCTTGTTCAATTGCATTCGTTAAGATATTTAACCATTTTATTGATAGAGTTAAGCGTGCGTATCTGCTGTGCGGCCATCGATTGTAATTATCTATCTGATTGGTTGGTCGAAATATTTGGGGTTGTAGTTCAAGAAATGCTTAGCACATTAAAAAAAAAACTCCAGCCCTTCTATCTGTCCCCCACGACTTTATTTAAATGAAGTTCTTGTCATGGCATGTTCTTTACAGTCAAGAAATGATCATTATGGTTTGTGGTGTTTAATTTGGAGCACCTGACAGGTCTCACGGCAATGTTCCTTTAAGAAGCAAGACAAACGAAAACATATTAAAATGCAAGCCAGGTTTACTGTACCTTTAATTGACACAGAATGCCCACAACAAGGGACGATATTGTGTAGCTGGCAAACTGAACCATATAAACGCCACCCAGTTCCGCAGTATCAAGGCCAAACTGCAAGAAATGAGTTATTTTCAAAGTGTATAATTGAATACGAAATTGATCTTGCGTGGTTACAAGGGCTTACTTCGGATAAAAGCGGGCAACTTAAATTTCTGCAAAGTTCTTAGATGTGTTAATATTGAATCAAGCTATAAGGGAGCACTGAGGCTTAGATACTGAGCGAATGAGTGAAAATCGAATGTCTCGATGGTGTAATGAAAAGGGTCTCAAATGCAATTTCTTGGAATTGAACAGTTATCACTGTGTGTTTCTTATGTGGTTTGATTTTGTTTATCGTAAATGAATTTTTGTCGCATGACACTTACGACCGATCTTTTGCCTTATTCACCTTTCTGCAAAGTTAGTTTTTGAGCACTCTTGCCCCCTCCATTCTTGACCTTTTGACTTTCTATAATGGCCCTTTCAATGCAACTGTATTAAAATGTGAACGAATGCGCGAATGAACGCCTTACTAAACGAATATGGTAACGACATTATTAAAGCGTTTTATGATCTCCATTACCTGTCTGAGATGTGGCTCCAACGTCGGTTCATTAAATCCCATAATAATCCAACTTATCATCACTGTAACCATGTCGATTACAAAGACTGGATCAATAAGCAACTTGTACAAAGCTCTTGGCCTCTTCAGAGGTTCGGATGTTGGAGATTTTCGAGCATCTGTAATGAGTAAAGAGAGAAAGTTATTGTTCCTAGAAAGTATACTGAGGCGATGTCTGTCCCTGTGCTTGTTGTGTGGTAAACCTTCATATGGGCTACATTTGTTGCTTACAAAATAAGAGTTGCATGAGCCCGATTCTACAAGCTACCACTCGCCTGCATAGTGTACGCCATAGCAGATAAGTAGTTACGGAGCTCAGATTGGCCCCGAAGGTTACGGGTGCGATCCTGTCCACGAAAGTCGCATTTTGGTTGGGGTGAAATTTTATGGCCCCGTGTGTTGTGCGATTTCAGCGCGCGTTAAAAAACACCAGATGGTCAAAATATCCGGATCTCTCCCCTAAAGCCGCCCTCATAACTGTATTCTCGTTTTGGAACTCAAAACTTAGATAATAGTTTCGCCAGCACCATTGACGGTGTCTGTCACTGTGCAATCAATTCGTTTTTTGGTACTAACAGCAAAAAAAAAAAAAGGAAAGAAAGAGATAGGTAAAGAACTGGCTGATAAGAGAAGACAGTGCACAGGGATAGCACTTACCCTGTGCACTGTCTTCTTTTCTTCTCATCCAGGTAATTCTTTTTCTTCCTGTTGGCGCCGAAAATATAACGTCGGGGATACAACACCAACTAGCCCGAAAGGAAGCTTTATTCAACTTTTGAAGACCGGAATTTTGGTGGATTTATATAAAGCAGCTTGTTGAATGATTTCATTAATTAAAAGGCATTCTTAAGTTTCAGGGTACATTAATTACCTTTTACAGATACGTCGGACAGCTTCTTTGAGGTTGTCGTCCATGGCAGTGAAAGTCCGAGCAGAGCCGCTATTACAAAGAAGGGCAGCGGGTACGCCCAAGCCTAAAATGTATCGGTGAAAGTATTTCACTCGGTCAAACGTCTACACACAAATTGTTAATGATTGTCTGGGCTCAAACTCGCTGAAAAACTTGTAGCCTGTGCATTCATTTAGACAAAAAACTGTGCATAATGCAGCGCTAGGAAAATATTTCAATATAAAAACTTATACTTTTGACTTACGTCAATTAGCACACCTCCAAGACCTGTCCCAACCATGTTTCCCACGCCCCACAAGAACTCCATCGTAGCCTGAAACAAAAATCTTCTGTTGTAAAGAACAGGTAACATGTTCATCAAGCTCTTACTTTTTAAGTACTTTACGTCATTGGCTACCTCTGCATTAAAAAAAAAGAAACAACAACGGCGGGCCTGCGCCATATGCACAGCCCAGTCGCAGCGAAAGCTGGAAGATTGAGCTGCATGCATGAATGTTGGCTGCCTCTTGTGAATTCATGTAGGTTGTATGTAAATCCTTCATTCAGTACAGATAGGAAAGCATTGAATACATATAGGAAATACTATAACTGTCAAAAAAAAAAACGCAGAATTTGAAGGAAAACCTTAGTACTTACGATAATAGGACCCGTGTGCATAGGAAATTCTGAAGTGACAACTGCGTATGCCGAAACGAGGAACACAGTCGAAAAGAAACCACCGATTACGGCCAGTGTCAAACAAAGGCTAAGGAATACGCTGCCTTTGGGTGACCAGAACATCAACCTACGAAAAAGATGGGACTATGTGGTAGGTTCACAAAACAGGTAAACAATGTAAGACTTCATTCACCACGTTAACAAATATTCAAGCTCTTATGTAATTATCTCATTCTTAGCCAACAGTGCAAAATCTGAGTAAATGTTTTCATGGTATATTGGTAAAGCCTACATTGTATATCATTATTTCACACGGTCAGACTCTAACCTAAAATAAATTGTATAAACACTCACCCTAAAAGAGTAGTGAACAGTAAGAAACCAATCTGTCCGGATAAATAACACTTCCGTGGTGATGCTAAGGCCATCTAGAAATAAAACATAGCCATGCATTAGAGCATGCATACATGGACACTAGCAAAGCTATTGAGAACGAAGTATGCGAACATACAAGAGTGGAAGCTTGGGTTAGTTGGTGCGTAGTCATATTTGCAAGTTTATTCAGTGCGTGAACACAGGAAAAGGGGACAGGGCAGACAAAAAGAGTGCTGACTTCCGACTAACCTTATTTCGCAGAGTGGAAATGCTTCGAAAAGAACGATACCGAACAGGAAGATGAAAGACGAGGCTAATGAATGCCTTGGTATCAAAACACGTGTGATGGGTCCTAAATCGCCTTAAAACCCAGCCAAGTACTCATTTTAAAGTGTGGTAAAACAACAGTTGCGGAGTTTACGAAGTTCTCACCGAGCAAGTGTGTTTTTTCTGCTTCAATATTTCACGGGTAAGCTGATTCTTACGCCCTGCCAAGGGTACCAAGAGCACCTTGGCATCCGTTGCCGGGATTGAGTTTGCACCCCCCTATTCGATCGGCGCTATATATTGACAAGGCATAAGAATCACCTTACCTGCGAAATTATTGAAGCGGATAAATACACTTTCTAGGTGAGAACTGCGTACAGGCTTTCCACCTGTTGTTTTATCACAGTTAGGAGGTGATTACCTGACTCGGCTTTGAGACAATCGACGACCCATCACACCTGTTTTGATACTGACGCATTGATAAGCCTTGTGTTTTATCTTCCTGTTCTGTATCGTCCTTTTTGACGCATATATTTTGCCACTCTGCGTAGTTGGAAGTAAGTGTTTTTTATGCGTACCCTGTCCCTTTTTTCTTATCTTCGCACGCCGAAAAAACTTGCAAATATGATGTTTGCGAAACAGAGATAGTTGATAGAGATAAACTTACAATTCGTTCGCTGATCGCAGATCCCAGCAACATTGCCACTTTAAAGGCAGAAAAGAAAAACCCGTACTTCCAAGCTTCCAGACCAGCAGCGTCAGCCTTGGGAGAGACAGGGCAGGATGAACATGTCAAGTAACTAAAGCGGAAATCTCAGTACATCGGGATTCCATGTTTATGAATGGTGAGTGCACTGAAAACAATTTTCGTGGTCTCAGCTACAAGTCGGGCCAACTGGTCGTTGTCTAAATGGACGGCTTCGTGAACACCATTACAATCTTAAGTACGTGGCGAGTGGTTTTCTGGCAGTGCATTATAAGAAGTGTGGTTGCTTTCTTTTGTTCGATGCGTTCAGAATTCTGACAATAAATGGAAATCAGCTTACAAGCGGGATTATAAAAGCAGAATAGATTGAAAAGATGGGTGACAAGTGTATCAGCATGCCCTCTGTTGCGCTCACAAAAAGGAATTTAATTTTCTTCATGTCTCTTCTGATACCGAGCAGTGTTCTTGTTTCTTCTGTGCAGCAGACGTGCACACGTTTTGTTTTGTAGGCGATAGTAGTGTTGGAATTACAAAACAACACTGTTAAATGTAGCGCTATGCGCGTGCAGATTTGTACTTGCATTGTGTGCTGTTTTTCACGTACTTTTATCTTTCATAAATGTGTCAAGTCAATCGAAAGTCAGACAAACAAATGAAGGAATCGTTTTCTAACTGAGAAGATCCGAATATGTTCTCGACGCGGCTCCACATGAGCGAATCAACGTGTTGAGGGAGATTTCGTCGTGGAGTTTGGGGTTCTATATTAGTACAGTTCACTCGGTGTGGTAGTCGCTGCTGTGGCAACGTGTCACTAGACGCTACTGAAATGCGCAGCCTTTAGGCACTCGTTCCTGCAAAAAATAACGTCGCCATTACTGTTGCCATTGCCGTTTGTGGCGTAACCGATATACATGAAATAATAAAATGAAAAAAAAATACCGGATTCGAATGTAATTTAAACCCGGGACCTCTGCCTTGCAGTCGAATATTCTGCCACAAAACCACACTGGTCCTCTAAACTGATTTGCAAGACCTTATACATGCAGACGTCTTGTCGGGCAAGCAATCGCGTCGACCTATGTGCTACTACGTGGTAGATGAGTGAAATAGCAACTAGTCATGAGACAATGCTTATTGTGCGACTAGTGTGGAGTATAATGCGTCCCACCCACTGCGAAGTGCTCAACCATAATGGTGGTCATCATCAGCCACATGCAGAATTAACAAACTGCTCCTAATATACCTTGCAGGTGTGTAGCGGGTAATATCCACAGAAAGACGAATAATGGTGTAGTTGGTGCTGTCCTATATACGTCAGAAAAATCATGATGGAGGGCGTAGCCTCGCGGAAAGCCCAAGCTTCCAACATACTCGTCCTTGCCCCAGCTCGAAGCTACTCTCAGAAATCACATTCGGCGGTATCGTGATCGTCGGTGAATTTTTTCAGTTTTTATACGATTCATCGACATCGACCTGCTCGCCTTTACTGCAACGTTCTCTGTATGCCTTTGCTTCTTCTCCTTCAAAGTGTTATATTCATGGTTTGGGTGGGTCGCGCCAGGATGTTGAGGAACCAACCAACCAACTCAAAGCAGGCCCTTCAATTTGGGCATTAGTTAAGTAACTTGTTGAGACTAATTGCGTCACTCTGTTTGAAACGGTGAACACGAAACGCACAGCTGGGGCTCGCGTGTGTCCTTTTTGTGTTGTTCTTCGTTTCAAAGACGGAAGTGTCAGCTATGTACAACCAACCTACGCTGGCCCTACTAGAAGTAGCTCGAACATGCGGAGCAGCGTATTATGTGTGGCTCAACGTGTTTCGCACGTGCCCTTAGTTGATTATTTATTGTGCCAGTCATATGTAATTTTAGAAGTTTCGTTAGCATTTCATACTGACTATCTGAAATAAATCAATACATAAAACGTAGTAATTCAAACTTTGATATGATCATTGAACACACTTTATTGGCAGACTCTATGCTGATTTTGGACAAATGTACTTTCTTAAAACGCTTGTACGCAAATCTCTTTGCATTTCACGTACATCGCAATGCCGCAGCAAGGATCGCACCTGCGACTTCCCGTTCAGCGCCACACATCTTGGCGCCACCATAGATCAGTGGATCAGCGGCGAATAGAAATAAAGAAGGAACATGAGTGACATATAGATTGTAGGGAGATAAACCTGGAACAGAAATGTCAATTAACGGTTTCAAAGAGAGAGAGAAAGATAGGTGAGTCATTAGTATTGTGGTAATGAATAATATTTAGTTAAATGCCGCGATTTATGTAAAATCACCATTATTTTAGTAATGGTGGCCTATCTGTGACTTAAAATGTAACGAGGCAAAAAATGCGTAAGCAGGGGTTGCGTTCTCGAGTGGACGTTCCGACAAGTGAACTTTTTCTCTTCTAGCCTTGAATAAGACCAGTACACTTGACGATATGTATCCACTCGAGCGCACAATGTTTGTCATTTTTTGTAATATGTAACGTGTTTTTGCGTCAAGATAAACATGTGCGATTTTCATGGCAAAAGTTTTGTTCACTCACGTTTTATTACTAACAGTCTACCAATCAACCTGAAATTTGAGCGAGTTGGTTTTGACACAGATATAGTTAATGTAGCAAAAAAAAAAACAACGACAGAGAAAAGTGCACACAAAATCTAGCGGTCGTCCTGTGTGCATCTTTTCCTGTCCTTGTTTTGTTCCTCTACCTTATGTATTTAATCTACTCCTGCCACGGTGTCTAAGAGGTTACGGTGTGCATCCGCTGACTTGAAAGTCACGGCGTCGATCGCGAACGTGGCGGTGGCATTTCAATCGAGGCAGATTGCTGCAGCCCAGTGTGTGGTGGCATTGCCCAAACAACTTCGGCTGGTTTAAATTATGTGCAGCACTTCACGACATTGTCTTCCATATTCTGAGCCGGTTCGGAATGCGGAACGTAGTCGACCACACTGAGCGACCAGAATTCTATAAATAACAACAATGTATGACAGTAGACAGTGTCTCGTCTATAGCGCAGTTATATGTTTCCAATTTCGGTTCACCAACTAGCCCCCCAACGTACGCATCTCGAGCATACAAGAATCCTCTCTCGAATGCTACACCATATACCTTCAGCAGAAGCTTAGCCGGTAAACCATAAAGTCAATAAACAAACTTGTATTGAGTTTTTGTAAGCGAGAAAACGTTCATGCGAACAAGAATGTTTATTATTATGGTCGCTAGTACACACAGTATAAAATATTATAGGTTGCTAACTCAGGACCTTACAACGAAACTTTATAAATTGAATGCAAGTTACATTTATGCCATTCAATAAATAGGCTAAATGACATTATATCATTACATACCAAAGGTGGAAAATAAGGTTGCATGAGTGAGAAGGCCGCCGACAACCAAATGTGGGTGTACACCAACGGCATCATCCATCGGCTCTGGAGAATAATGGAAAGCACGCTCTTGGTAGGCGTCGTAGCATGGTGTAATTCAAGATCATCTGGGCCACACGTTTCGGTAGCGTTCTTCTCAATATCTAATGCATCGACTGAAAATGCTCCGTTTGCGTAGAAATGTAGACTCCTTGATTCCGAAGCCTGTTTTACGATTTCCACGCCATCTGACATTGCTGTCTCGGTGCTCTGAAGACTTGTACCAACGAGCGGGAGCAGCCTGTGAGAGAAAAGGACATTCCTTCAATACACCGATTAAATTTAAGTCATTTTCAGTAACTATGGGATTTGAATGTATTTATGTTGCCCTTTTTGCATGCTGTACCGAAAGCAAAAAGTATACGTCGGCGATCGGTATGTGGCTAACCTCTCTGCATTTGTCGCCATATCTATCGGGTTTATTGTCACTTTGTCAACATTGCAAGAGATGTTCGAAGGACGGTACGATAGCAAATAATGCATAGCTTAATATACATGAATGATCGTCAAAGATATTGTTGCGGGAAGAAAACAGACCCACGATTGGAGAGTTAATGTATTGACAGTGATAGCAGAGGTTTCCCAGGTGGTGATAAGTCCCGTCGTCTTTCTTCAATCTTAGTGAGCCTCCTCCTTCTCTTTACCGCAACATCAATCTCCCGGCGGGCGTAGCTCCGTTCCCGTGCACATCATGGAGCACCAGTCTAGGCGGGGATATACGGCTTGAGCCTGGTGACGTGAACAACGTCGCTGATGACGTGAGGTAGCAAAAACACGTCGGCTGGTGCAATATCGTACGTCACGTCAGACAATTGGCGTAAGTTCTTGTACGGACCAGGATAGCGACAGAGGAGGTTTTCAGCCAAGCCGACACGGCGTGAGGGCGTCCAAAGGAGGACAAGAGAACCTGGAGAAAATTGCGTGTCTTGGTGCTGGCAATTGTAACGTCGCTTTTGAGAAGCTTGCGATGTTGCGAGCCGTTGACGAGCAATCTCTTGGGCATGGGCGGCCAAAGTAATTGCATCGCGGGTTCAATCAGTTGTTGAGAATTTGACACCAGATGGTAGCAACGTATTGAACGGCAAGACACGGTCGCGGCCATACAAAAGGTAGAATGACAAAAATCCGGCGGTTTTGTGACGGGACGAATTGTAAGCAAAAGTTATATATGGTGAAGTGTTGTCCCAGTCGTGGTGATCGTCGGAAACGTAAATGGCAAGCATGTCAGTTATAGTGTGGTTCAGTCACTCGGTGAGCCCATTTGTTTGAGGATGGTACGCGGTAGTGATCTGGTGTTCAGTAGCACAGGAACAGAGCAGGCCATCGATGACCTTCGACAAAAAGTAATGACCACGATCCATTAGTAACTGTCGAGGGGCGCCGTGGTGCAGGATGACGTCGTAGAGTAGGAAGTCCGCAACATCTGTAGCGCAGCTAGTCGGTATCGCATGTACAATGGCGTATCTTGTGGCACAATCTGTCACGACGGCAATGCACTTGTTCTCTTCGGTAGAATTGGAGAATGGGCCAAGTAGATCGAGGCCTGCACGGGAGAATGATTCTGTTGGGACTTAAATTGGCTGAAGTAAACCAGCAGGAGGCAAAGCAGGCGTCTTTCACCGCTGACGCAGGTCGCAGGAAGCGACATAGCGGCGCACAGAGCGATAGAGACCAGGCCAGAACAAGCGGCGCCTTACGCGATCGTAAGTTCGAGTGACTCTCATATGTCCAGCAGTAGGAGCGTCGTGAAATTCCTGGAGCACGACCAGCCACAGACGCATGGGAACAACTAGTAAGAGCTCAGGACCATAAGACTGAATGTTGCGGCGGTACACAATGCCGTCATGCAGTATGAACATTCAGAGAGAGAGAGGTTGGTGGGCGCTAGCTTAGGTGGTCCATAAAGTATTGAAGAACAGGGTCTTGTCATTGCTCGCTTCCTATGTGAAAGCTGGATGTGGAAAGAGTACTGATGTCGATGTCATTATCAGTGTCGTCCAGTTGATCCACAGGATTGCGAGAAAGACAGTCAGCATCATTGTGCATGCGTCCATATTTATGCACTATTGTGAAGTGATACTTTTGTAAACGGAATGCCAACGCACAAGTCTTTCAGTCGGGTCCTTCAAAAAGGAGAGCCAACAGAGGGCGTCGTGATCCGTGACGACTCGGAAAGGACGACCAAACAAGTACGGTCAAAATTTTGTGACAGCCCAAACGAGTACAAGGCATTGTCGCTCAGTTATCGAGTAATTCCGTTCGGGCGTGGAGAGAAGGCGACTCGCATAGGCGATGACACGGTCGTGGCCCTGATGATGCTGAGTGAGAACAGCGCCGATACCATGGTTACACGCGTCAGTGCAGACTTCAGCGGGCGCGGAAGGGTCGAAGTGTGAGAGAATCGGTGAACTTGCAAGCCGCTTAATAAGGGTAAAGAATGCTCGCTCTTTAGGTGGTCCCCAGAATCCAGAAGGGATCTTTCTTAAGAAAGCCTGTGAGAGGACGAGTGATGTCGGCAAATTTCTTTACAAAGCGACGGAAGTATGAGCATAAACCCATAAAACTATGGACATCTCTCGTCGATGAAGGAATAGAAGAATTTCGCACAGTGAAAACCTTTTCTGGATCAGGTTCGATTCCTGCTGCGTTTACGAGATGTCCGAGCACGCTAATTTCTCGGCGACCGAAGTGGCACTTGAAGGAATTCAGCTGAAGGCCAGCAGTGCGAGACACCGAGACGATAGTTCTAAAGTATTGCAGGTGACTTTCAAAAGTCTTCGAAAATGCGATCACGTAGTCTACGTAACAGAGGCACGCTGAGAATTTTAAACTACGCAAGAGGGAGTCCATCATGAGCTTGATTTTAGCTGGCGCATTGCAGAGTCTAAAAGCATGACTTTGAACTGGTATAAGCCATCTGGTGTTACGAAGGTGGTTTTTCGCGGTCCATCTCATACACGCTGATCTGCCAATAGCCTAAATGGAGATCAATTAAAGAAAAATACTTCGATCTTTGAAGGCAGTCAAGGGCGTCATCTATTGGGGGCAGTAGGTACACATCTTTTTTGGCTTTCCGGTTCAGGTGACGGTAATGGACGCAGAAGCACCACGAGTTTCCTTTTTCTTTACCAAAATTACTGGGAATACCCGCGGCCTACTCGATGGTTGAATGATGTGCTTGACGATCATCTTGTCGACCTCTTTTTGTATCATGGTCCTTTACCCAGCAGAGACACGATATGGCCTCCTACGAATGGGGCTCGCGTCACCGGTGTCGATTCGATGGGTTACAACAGACTTCTGTCTCAGAGGCCACTCGTTTATGTCAAAGGTTTCCCGATAAGATGACAGCAGGTGACAAAGAGCTGTGGTGTGTTCCTCAGGAAGGTTAGGGTCAGTTATCCTAAAAATGTGGTCTGCAGTCGACGAGGACGAAGCAATCTGCGACAAAGGTGTGCTGTATTCGAAGAGAGTTGCAGTGGCCAAAGAAGTAATATTATATCCTTTCAGAGGAGAGAGATTCACCATGGCAATATTTGGGGAAGCACGTGCGTAGAAAATACAAAATTGACGATTGGTATGCAAGCCCTATTCTCCTGTATTTGAACTATGGTGCTTGGTAGGTAATGTTTCTCGTCAGAACCACGTCAGTGAGTGGTGACACGACATAGTCGCCATCTGGCACAGGAGGAGAGCGCATCAGAATAACAGCAGTCGCAGCCTGTGGGGCAGACAAGCGAACTCCGTGGAACATAAACGGGATGATGCACAAGTTGCGGCGTCGGCAGGGAAGAGAAGATCAAGCTGTATAGCTCCATCGGAGCAGTCAATCTGGGCTTCGTGTGGTGCAAGAAAGTCTATGTCGAGCATGAGGTCATGTGGCCACTGTTCGAGTACATTAAATAAAACTATAGCATAGCTGTTGCCGATGGTGACACGGGCTGTACACATACGACACATACGACAACAGGTGCAGTGCTACCATCGGCGACTCGTTCTGTACTCGTTGTGATGGGTGTGAGGATCTTTCAGAGCCTTCGGCGAAAAGCAGCACTCATAACCGATAGGTGAGCCCGCGTGTCTACAAGAGATATGACATGAACACCGTCAACTTCGATGTCCAATAAGTTTCCACATGTAGGCAGAGTAAATAGAGGGTTTGAAGGCTGGGTCGAAGTTGCAGCGTCACCTCCAGAAGCTGCGCCGCCTAGTTTCCCAAAGGGAAGCGGCCGGTTGTGGATGGGGACGTAGAGCGGTGCATGAGCGGTGAACGTGTCTGACGACCTTGCGGAGATGGGGAGTGGCTGATCTTGGCTGAAAATTGTCAGCGATGGTGGCCTGGTCCGGCGTGCAGGGCGAGAGAGAAGGACCATCCGGCAGCTGTTAGTTCTGACTAGGAGACGACCACAGGGGAGGTGGCGTAAAGAGACTGTGACAGTGACGGGAAATGTGTCCAATACGAGAACAATTGAAGCACATTGGACGATCGCCTATGGTGCACCACTCGGCTGGATTGCGGCGCGGCAGAAGGTGATTATGCGTCTGGCTTGGAGGGGTTGAGGGGACCTGGTAAGTGTTCGTTTGCCGGACCGAGCAGAGTGATGACATGTCCAAACTTGCGATTTCTTCCCGAGCGACCGCTTGAATTAAAGAGATGGATGGCATGTTATCCCGGTAGTCGGGGCGAATAGGTAGAGCAGAAGACATGGCCTCAAGCTGACGACATACAAGGCGCGTGATGTCTTCAGTTGACGTCGGTTGTTGGATAGGCGGTGGTTAATCTTCACATGACGAGGTCGCGGCGGTATTAGACAATCTGTCGCGCGCTTTAGCAACTCAACGGCCTTTTGCCTGTTCAAAGCGGTGACATTTTTTGATGACTTTATCCACCGTAGTACAATCTCTGCACATAAAGAGGTTGAAGGCATGATCGGTAATACCTTTTAAAATGTGTCCAATCTTGTCAGCCTCATTCATGCTGTCGTTAGCTTTACGACAGAGAGATAGTACATCTTGTGTGTAGACGACATACGACTCTGTTGACATCTTAGCGCGGCCCTCAAGTTTTTTGCTTGCGGCCAGCTGACGACCGACAAACAGATCTCGCATTTTTTTGTTTACAGACGTCCTAGCTCTTGCGGCCAGCTTCGCGTGTTTTGTACTAATGCCGCGCAGTTTCCATAACATAGAATAGCAGGTTTACAAACATGAGAGTCGGGTCCCACCTGTAGCTGTCACTAACTCTCTCGTACAGTTTAAGCCACTCCTCTACGTCAGTCTGATCCATGCTACAAAAGGGCCCAGGGTCCTGCAAATGAGTCGGGAAGACCACTGGCATGGCCGTTGATGCTTGGCTTGCCGTTGTTTCTGGCTCAGACATTGGCTGGTTTGCCCTTGTGGTGGCAGGCGGATGACGTCCACTGCGAAGTTCCGTCCTGGTATCCCGGCACCTTCACCAAATGTTGCGGGAAGAAAGCAGACACACGATTGCAGAGTTGGTGTATTTACAGTGATAGCAGATGTTTCCGAGGCGTTGACAAGTCCCGTCGTCTTCCTCCAATCTGAGTGAGCTTCCTCCTTCTCTTTACCGCAACAATATGTGTATATATGCAGGATCTCAGAGAGGCAAATTAAATGTGGTAGCCCACCTAGCCAGCAGATCTCTCTTTGTAGGCATGTGTCCCAGTATGTAAGGGTTAACTTAGACACCTGAGGCCTCTCGGTTACACATAGTGGAAAGTGGCGAGTTAATAAGCAGCGGAGTATTGCATGCAACTGAGCAGCTGTAACATAAAGCTTTCTTGTGGTACCGTACACCGATACCATATACCAACAAATAGAAAGTTAACAAATGGATACCGTTCATGTCATGTTCCCTAAAGGTCATGATACCCACAATGCATGCCATTTAACATATATATGTTCTGGTGCTAGCTTCCGAAAGAATTTATTAAGCTCTGTTCTACTGTGGGTCTAACGTGGGCGATCTAAATTACATCTCTTGTTTCAATAAGTTGTTTAGGATATTCTTGTACTTTCATATAGCACCAGTGATTCTTTCTTACCGATAATAGAACTAGTGAAATACACAGAGCCATGATAAGGAACCCCATCGTATCACACCTAAAGACAGAGCCTATAGGTCGGACAAGCCATAATGATTAAGCCACATAACCACAAAGACAATTTACCTAGCGACATGAAAGGCAACAAGAAATACAGTCTAGTCACACAAAACAGGCATCCGGACACCACCGGGTATATGTTGCAAATAATGCCACGCGTAATGTCCAGTAACACAAAAACTGTAAAATTTAGAGAAAGCCCATTCAAATTGTATGGGCAGGCAGGAAGCTTGCACATAAAGCGCAACAGAACGAAACATGACGGAGTCAAAGTAGAGAAAGAGAAATTTGGCCCACCTCGTTTGAATGTAATCTAGAATTGGACGAAACCTCGTCTGGTCTGGATGTAATTACATGGTAGAAAGAAAGGTACTGAACGCCGACCTCTTTGGTCGGTTTTCAATATTATGTTTCTACAAAAGATGGGATGTTTACACCCCGCAAAGCTGCTATGTCCACACAGTTTTAACAGACAGGCCAAGCAAGCATCGCCAGTGACGAAAAGCGTCAATAACAGTCGTCGGATTTACCTGTCACGGTGCGTTGAATTGTGGTTCGGAACTTTGCAAGAAATGTTTCGGCCAGTAGAGAGTCGCTTTTCGGGGGGCAACCATCAATGAGCTGCTGTCCTGCAATTCAATCGAGCAAGAAGTAAAACCAGACGTATGGGAATCCACGGCTCTCTGCCATTCGTTGCAGCGATGAACGATGGTTTTGAAGCTAGAGAAGGGGAAGGTAAGGCAGGCAAGCGCAAGGGGGATGCTTTGTTCGAGACGATAGGCGCTTACAATGCAAGGCTATCATGTCAACATAAGAGGGTTGTTCGTTGGAATGACTGTAAGACTGTGTTTCGAAAGTAGCTGTATGAAAGCTCTCGGGCACGCTGTCAAACTGATACCTGAGATAACTGCTCAAAAAACTGTCGTTGAAGAGTGTGAGAAGAGCGGGGTAGGCTCTTTATGCGTGAGGTGACGCAGTGGAAAGCGGAAAGGAAGTCTAGAAGAGTTTGCCGTGTAGGAATGCGCTGATTTTACTGCACCGAAGTCGCAAAAAGCTCAAAATAAGGTGATCCAAGATCAGTGTGTGATATTTAGTGCGTAGTCATTGCCGTTCGTTCTGCGGCAATCACTCAGCTAAAATAGTGAAGAACGCCGCTAAACAAGTAACTCGATCTGCTTAGAAAAAAATGGCAGCATATCCACGGAGTAAATGATGGAGCGTGGGGCGAAGCATCTGTCCGTCCATTCGTTCTTGCTTCCGTCTGTCCATGCGTCCATCTGTGTGACCGTCCATGCGTCCATCCGCCCGTCCGTGCGTGCATTTGTTCGTGCGTCCGCACGTCTATCTGTACATCCGTCTGCGTTCATCCATGCATCCGCCCCTGCTTCCGTTCATGCGTCCATCCGTCCGTACAGCCATCCGTGCGTCCGTCCATGCATCTGTCTGCGTGTCCGTTCGTCCACCTATTCAACATTCCAAGTACCAGGATCTTTTCATCATATATTCCGCATATAGAAGCACCGCCATCCAGCGGACATTCCAAGGACTAAAAGAGAGGTGGCACACGCACACTTTTTTACGGCTTTCGCTTCGTGTCTACTTACCACCTTTAACCACCTCGGGTTAATGGTATATACTAGTTCACTGTATTCATGGCACTGCGGCCCAACGCTCGCTAAACCTTCCTAAAACCAAGTAGGTTACGGCCAGCGAGTACAACCTAGCAGCCCTTTCTTTTCAGATAGTGCTCAATGTACATGCCAATGACTGCTAATGGGGAATGAGAGACAGGAGAATTGGGCTTACGCGCACGCTGCGAATTTTTTATTGATCAACAACGCACAGGAGAAATCTCCCACCGGCACCACCTCGCAGGTCGAAACGTAAGACTGGTTCCACACTACTACTACTACAACTATTACGAGGGACGAACGGGTGCCACTTTAAGGAGCTTCGCCCCTAAAAGGTGCTGCTCCTATATTGCTTATGGGGAACATGGCCCTTAATGTAGTTGGGACGGTAGTAGAATATTGTAAATATAATGAAGAAAAAATTATCCACTCAAAGCGGAAGAGTAGCTTTAAACGAACTTGTTTATGTGTGGCCTTTCATCAACGACGTGACTAAGGCCTACAGCATGGTGCTCACGTCGGAGGGTTGCCAAAAATGTCACGCTTGGTGTTGGCAACCAAGTATTGGGCGAGCAACATGGATAGGAAACATAGTAATGGGGCCCAAAAGCTGCTTAGTCACCCTCTATCGGGTGAGCCTCTCTTGCCTTCTAGGTTGCTTAACGTAAGCGCGTTGTAACTTTGGCTGTTGACACTCGGAAAAAATACCGCGCAAGAGTCCTCCTAAGCATTGTAAACACTTTCAAAATGCTCAAAGATTTAGAGCATGGCTCTTATATTTTCGTTCCTGCGTTGAGCAGTGCCTCCAATGCCCTCGGTGGTATAATCGATAGACATGAAGTATGAAATAAGAAAAAAATACCCGGGATTGAATGAGGTTTGATCCTGGACCCTCTGAGGGTAGTCGAGAATTCTATCACAAAGCCACGCTGGTGCTTCAAGGAATGAAAGAAGGTAGAAGAAAATGACGGACACGCAGAACGGTAAACCAGACGGGTGTCCGATTCGCTTGAGGAAGAAGAATGAGGGATTACAAGATAGGGAGATAGAAAGAAGGGAGGATGCAAGAAAACACTTGTGCTTCAAACTGCAAATATACCCTATACAGGCACATGGAACAGGCGTCATGTCGGGCAAGTAATCGTGGTAATTTATGTACTATATAACGTGGCAGAAGAGTAAAATAACAACGAGGCATCACGAAATTCTAATTGCGCAAAGAATGTGTGGTTTAATGCTTCCCACCCTCCTTCAAAGGCCTCAGCCTTAAATCTTCATCGTCTCCATGCAGCATAAACAAAGTTGTCGTACTATCGTACGTATGTGTAGCGTGTACTTCGATGATCCGTAGACGGATAATGGTGCAGTTAGGGCTGCCCTGCTTCACAAGTGTTATGATTAATGGCCTGCTCTGTAACGCACAAATAGCCACATTTTCAAGAACAGTTGGCATTGACCCAACATAGCGCTGCGCTCAGAATTCACATTAGGCAATAGAGTAATCCTAAGTGAACTTTTTACGTACCATTAGAGAAACGGCGTGAAGGACCAGGGCAGTTAAGACAGATATACAAATGAAAGTAGCGCTGACTGCCAACTGATGTTTATTGTGGCGAAAACGTAAACACATATCTACGTATCGGCTCCTGTCATTAGAATCAATAACAAAAAATTATTCGGTGTGCATATTTTTGTCGTGTGCCTGAGTTACGAGCGAGAATTTCACGAGGGGCCAAAGCTCGCTTCTCGGTCTCGTCAGCAGCTCATGGAGCCCTGTATTTGGGGCCCCACTGATTGAGCTCATAACTTCTTGCCCCAAACCCTTCTCAGTAAAGTTCTCCTTTACGTGCATGTAAGCTTATACACATTGAGGATTTTCAGAAGAATAAAGTAATCTTTTGCTGCAACTGTGTTCTTTAGACTGCACAGGTCACGAATAAAATAATTATGTTCAAGCTCACGTGAACCTTCTCGAGCACAAACTCTGCTAGGCAGCAAAGAACTGCAGTTTCTCCAAGCAGATTAGCGCTGCTTTACCTGAAATTATTGATACTTTCTCTCCATAGGTTATCCCTTCTTTTTCCTGAGACAGTACGCTAGTTGCAATACCTTCTGCAATACCTTTGAATGCAGCTTCAGTGGAATGAGTGTCGCGGTCAGCGACACTCATTCCTCAACCTTAAAGCACAGGTGGCATTCACTTCAAAGGTCAGAAAAGCCGCGTGTATCCGGTCTTTCCGACCGAGAACTCCTTCCAACCTTTGCGTTAAGTGCTCTGATCAGCTTCATGCTCCTCATATTCAAAAGTGACTTGCGGTGGAGTTCTACCAATAGAGTTCAAAGCCAACAGGAAGCAATTATTTGTCTAGTAAGCGCCGTTGTTACCATGAAACCATGATCGCTGCATTAGCTTCGGTGCCACGCCGGAGGCGGAGCTAATTTTGGAGGCCATGGTAAAACTGTGCTACAAATGTGCGGTTAAGCTTGTTGCAAGAACCAGCATGACTCAGGAGCCACTGAATTGTGTCAAGGAGCATTTTAATAAAACGGAAATGCACTCTGCAGATAATTTCGTGAAACTGAAATGTGTTGGGTCCTACGACACAAATCGTTTTCACAGCTTAAGAGTTGGTTTACCTGACGTTCGTTCAAGGGGCGTTTTGCTACATGGCCTTGCCTTCTGTGAGTTCAAAGTTTCTACTTTCACCACTGCCCACCAGTGATTCGCTCCACCAAGCACTCTGCACACACGTGATATAGTTCACACAGTACTCGTCACAAATAGCAGTGTTTTGGAATACGCATATGAAGGTTTTCGCCACTTAATATGCACTGAACGTTTTGCCTCATCATCATTATTCAGAAGTGAATTTCACGATATGCAGAGAGGTTTGTTTTAATGCTATTGATATAATAGTTGTTGGCGGTTTAACATCCGAAAACCACCAAATGATTATGAAACGCCGTAGTCGAGTGCTAAGAAAATTTCGACCATCTGGGGTGCTTTAACGTGCACCTAAATAGAAGCACACGCCTCAAGTCTCAAGCACTTTCGCCATAAAAAATGCGGCCGCCGCGGCCTGAAATCGATTGTTGTGAGCCATTATCTAGATATCTAATGACCGATTTCTCAAATGACGCAAAACTGTGCGAGTATTGACACAGAAGGATGAATGATTAATTCGGCAGGCAATGAGATAACATACAGTTGCCTCAAACTTCAACTGTAGTACTTAGTTTCATATAGTAACCATGATATACTGCATTTAGGTCAGTTGTTGCTGTTCACTGAATCTTTTGCAATCTGTGCCATTGTGAAATAAATTTCCGCACTTCTAAACTAGAGAAAGAACAAAAAGCTTGACCGTTCCATGTGCTTCCACAAAGAGGTTTGAAACTTTGAAACATTATTTGTTATCAGCATTCGGGGTGCGTAGGGCCATGGCCAAAAAGCCTCTTATGGGCTTGACTGAGACCATGTTTCTTACAAATGGGCGAATAGACAATATTTTTGTTGCAACATTTTTGCTGCATGGTCAGTGAATGCAGCTTCAGCGGAACCGGGTTTGTGATAAGCAGAGTATATTCGCATTTGTTGAAGGGTTAAAAAGTTCGCTTAAAATTGTATGAATTTTTTTAACCTTTATGTCTAAACCTCGTGAATTATGTTGTGCATAATAATGTTTCATTTTTATTCGCTCAGCTTATTTATGCTGGTGTTACCAACTGTATATTTGTTCCAATGTAACCTCAACCCCCCATCCCCTACAGTTTACGGTAGCCCCCCTATATGCAATGCACCGCAAGGACCTTTAGGGTATGTAAATAAAAAAAATATAAAGCATCTGCCAGTGATAAGGCTCTTTTTATGCAGATGATATAAGCTTTATCTGCTTATGCTCTATATACTCTGCTTATCACGCACCCAATTCCACTGAAGCTGCATTTCAGCATATTGCAGAGTGATAAAGTACGCGCCTGAGTACAAAGTGTTGCTTCAGGCGGAGCACGTGTATAAGGCCACATTAGCTATTACGTTTGGTGAGTTTCCCTGCAATAACCCTTGTCTTGAAATGCATGCGTCGGTGAATTTTTTGTCATTGGTATGTTTCCTCGTTAAATAAATGATGTTCAGTGTCGAGTAGGCGTTTGTCCATTTGTGCTTTATTTTTTGCCTTCGACTGTAGTTCACTTACTTCAGGTATACCCGCAGAATTCAGCCTTCATCGCTCTGCTAAAACTGGAGAATTAAAAGCGCATCAGACCTGAACGAAAACAAGGGAGACCTGCACCTCTTCCTAAATGTACTCAGTGTAGTCTTCAGCGTCGAGCATATTACTGCAGAGGATATGTAAGGTGAGGGGAGACTTTTTTTGTACAAGGGAAATCAATTTCGAGATTTCTCAATCATCTGATGGGGAATTTTTTTGTCTTTCAGGAAACATATCACACTTGGGCGCTTGCGCTTTTGAAAATATTTTCTGTCTTTTTTCTTTTTCTTTGACATGCTGACACAAAATGTGCATGTACCCGTACATAACCTCTACGTTTTTTTGGAAACAACTCTTTTTAAGGTCGTGTATTTTCATCTCCCAAACTGTGGGGCACAACCAAAGTCCTCGCATGTATTCTAAGTGTAATTTACATAATTTAAATCATTTAAATATCAATTTCTGCAATCCCCAGGTTTCTCTCTTTTGCATTTAAACATTCGTAGTCTCCAATGTCATTATGATGAATTTCGTCATTATGATGAAAGTCATTATGATGAAAGTCGGCAATCCACAACAGGCACTTATTTAAACGGAGGGGTAGATCTATACGTTAAAGACAGCATCAATTACAAAGTATGACGGGACCTATGTTTTACAACAGAATGGTGTGAATTACTTTTCATAGAAATTCCTCATATTTCCACATCAATTAGTTGTGTACCGCATAAAACCAAAATTACGCTTCTGGGTGTAATATACAAATTCCCACAAAACCAGAAGGAAGGGAAGATTTCCTTCAAGCGCTACAATTGTTTTTAGAAGAACACGTAACCAATGAGACAAAAATTTTATCATTGGTGACCTCAACTGTGATACATCTATCTATCTATCTATCTATCTATCTATCTATCTATCTATCTATCTATCTATCTATCTATCTATCTATCTATCTATCTATCTATCTATCTATCTATCTATCTATCTATCTATCTATCTATCTATCTATCTATCTATCTATCTATCTATCTATCTATCTATCTATCTATCTATCTATCTATCTATCTATCTATCTATCTATCTATCTATCTATCTATCTATCTATCTATCTATCTATCTATCTATCTATCTATCTATCTATCTATCTATCTAGATAGATAGATAGATAGATAGATAGATAGATTTCAAAGGTGATTACAGATACACAAAGAAATGCTTTAGGTATCTATCTATCTATAGATAGATACCTGAAGCATTTCTTTGATAGATACCTTAAGATACTTGACATACCTGATAGATAGATACCTGATAGATACCTGAAGCATATCTATCTATCTATCGATAGATAGATAGATAGATAGATAGATAGATACCAAAGGTGATTACAGATACGCAAAGAAATGCTTCGCATTTATTTAAAGATATAGAACTTCTCTGCTGCCACTGGTCTACTAAGTGGTGACTGGCGGGATTAAATAGATGATATTGTTATTTGGGCAATATGTTCTAGCCGTTTGCGGTGGTATCCCGAGAACCAGGTGCCCATATCATCGGCATATATTGACATTCGGAGGGGTGCGCGTAAATAGCAAAGTGCATTTGCAACAGAAGCCGTAGCAACGGATAGCAGAGAAGAGGGAACGCATCCCAGGGGCACACCGTAAGAAAGGCGCCTCGCTCCGCTACGGTTGTCACTGAGGCGAATACGAATAGCGTGGTCACCGAGAAGGGCGCTTATGAAGCGCCGAGTACTGCTGGTAATTTTCATTGATTGTATTTGGGTGATAATAGATGTCTGGTAAACCTAGTTATGTATGTGCCTCGTCGACGGTCCGCGAAAGCAGCAAAGACTGAGAGGACGCCTTTCCTATGATTTGAAGGGGGCTTATGGGGTCTAACATACTATCTTTAGTACACTCTTGCTGTCTAAAGCCAGTCTTTTACAGTGAAAACTTTTTTTTGTCCTGCAACACAAACCGATTTCTATTATTTTCTTTTTAAATGTCGTTGGACAGAATGTGCATAATTAGGACAAGTCAGCAGCAATACTTCCTGGGTTTCAACATGGGCCTCACGCACGCAACTGTTCATATATCACCGGGATATAGAACCCTTCGTGAGAGCACAACTCAACAGGACACATGAGATGGAACAGACAGGCGCACACTTTCAACCTTGACTGCTAGTGGCTGCTTTAGCAGTGTGTGCCTGTTTTCGTCTGTTCCCTCTCATGTGTCCTGTTTAGTGGCGCTCTCACGATGGTTTTTTTATGTCAAAACACCAACTGGCCCTACAGTCAACTCTTTTAAATCACCCGGATATTCCACGTGTCCCATACGGCGTTCAAATATAGTCTGAGAATTCTGGTTGTCGTGGCTCTAGGTGGTTGAAGAGCATCTGATTGCTTACAAAATCGGCGCTTATGGCACAATGTCGTTGCAGGAATCTGATTTCTGAAATCTTAAAAAAGGACATTTATCAGCAAATAGTTATGAGTTGGTATGACATTCTATCGAGCTTGGGCATGCTGAAATATAGAATTCACTGGTGGATAACTTGCGCGTAGGTTGTGTTTCTGTATTAGAGTATCATGTCTACAAAAAATGAATATATATTTATTATTGACACCAAATGACAACTGCTGGCACATTCATGACTTCCGAGAAAAAATGAATCGATCCCGCGATGCTACATTGGCTCTCCTCGTTCGTTGAGTGTACATCAAATAAATCCAGTGAAGAAGCGTTATGGGTGTCTGGAAAAGAAGCAGTAAAGAAATATTATGGAGAAATCTCATTCCTTTGAATGCCCGTTTTTTAAATTGTACAGTATGAAATTACTTTTATACAATCCGGGGTGGTTTTCCTATGTATCTTATGGGAAAATCTTTCACTTTAGGGAATTTTGGAATAATTATTATTTCAGTTGAACGAACATAATCTGCTTGCCCGCGGGCTCCCTTTTCAGATCAAGTGCATGAAGTTCTTCGCTTCGCAGCACTGTGTAACTTATGTGAGCTACCCCTAATCACACTGGTGGTGGTTCAACATCGCTTGGACATGCAGAGCCGCCGACGCAAAACGGATGATGAAAACGAGTCACGTGCGCTTTTCTACCTGCGCAGAACATTCATACTTGTCTATTGTTTGAAGTGTTCTTTCGTAACCGAAATAAGGAGAGCGCGACGGAGAATTTTAATGGCTGAGGGAGCTACAAATGCTGTGTCTCTAGCCAGGGCTGTAGGATATATGAGATATTTGCGAGACTTCGGGGTCACAGCAGGAAGCTGACCCAAAGACAGTGCGCATAAATGTTCTCTCTGCACAGATTTGTCCCTTCTTGCGCTCTAAGAACACCGTGTAAAAGGAAATATAAAGACTTTTTTTAAGTAAGTTGAATTTTACACTGTTGACTTGAGATATGCTGCACCTAATGCTGTTTTGTATTCGAGGGAACTTCCAGGTAAGGAGACTACCTCTTTTGGTCCCCTTGAGCTTCGCTCAAGTGGGAGCTCTTGGTTTAATGTGCCACCTATACTTTCAAGAAAACGCGTGAAATTCACGAGCTTAAGCAGTTGTTTTTCGTGCTTGAACCCTGACGTATATATATTTTGAAAGCAGCTAGGGCAGTAGTGATGCCAGAAATCGAGGAGTTATTTTTTTCTAGTCCTTCATTTCACTGAAGCCACTCACCAACGTATTACGATCTACAGTGGACATATAATAGGCTCATGGTAAGCATGAATTATAAACGTATCACTATGCAATCTATTAATGATTAATATTAGAAATGTGAGAAAGACGGTAATAATCCCTCGAAAAATGTCAAAGTCTTGAATATCCCCAGCATAACTGCTATACAAACTGTGTTCTGCAAGAATGAACACTGCGAGATATGGGGTTGTATAGCAGACATAATTTTTCATTGGTTGTTGCAATTATCAAAGGTGATTATTTTTTGCAGTATATTCGGCAATGTAATACAAGCCTTTCAAACCTATAGCAAAGTTATGGTGGGCTAGTTTGGGCCTCTCAAAACGCATATTTTTATTTCTTTGTGGAACGTTTACGATTTCTGCGATACAATTTCACCGTAATTTTGTTGTTATAAAGTTATCCCGTCGTTAGGGTGCTAGTCTACATACAAATCAGCTGACACTATACGATGCCCAAGAAACTGCACATACGTACGTTGGCCGTTACAGCCCCTCCCTCAAATAGTTTTCAACAGTGGCGGCACATTTTCGCCATATTGAACGATACTTGGCGCTGAAGTTTAGACGGTGTTGTACTGGCGGGTAGATTTCGCACGTTGAATTTCATTGCTTACCCAGAATAACAGGATGCCAAAGAGGAACATAGATCCCGGTCTGTAGCTGAACTTTTCTACGAGAAGCCCTGCTATTGGAGGGGTCGTAATGGCACTGGAAAAACAAAGACAAGTCAGTAGTCGTTCAGCCAGAACTGTAGGCAACCACAGTTAGCTACAGAGCTTGTTGTTATGGTTATCTTGGAATAAAAACTACCAACAAACTTCAAGGTTGGTGCCGTACGTCCCGTCTTGTATACCTTTTTCTTTTTCGTGTTTTTAGCGCAGCCATAATTTATGTTCTATATATGCTCTGGTTGGTGTTTTACACAACACTCGAAATAGTAATCACTGGATGCGTAATATACTAATTAAAAATTACCGGTTTTAGCAACACTATAGTAGTAACCAGTAACGAAATCCCTGGTAACAACTGTCATGTTGTGTCATGTGTGCTAAGCGAAAGCATCAGGTTTTGTTACATTTAGAACATACTGATTTTGTGAGTCTCTTTAGAAAGATTTTAAAACACACTAGAGAAATTTTTGTTTGCCGTCAGACCAAATAGACTTTAATGAGCAAATATTTTGAAGCATTTCACATCCTATGAAACGCCTGGCTTTAACTTTGGTATCAATTGTGAAACTATGTGCTCGTCTTAGCGACTGTCTGTGAGTTGCTTGCAACCGACTGGGCAGGCGTATACAACGTAGGTCACTGAATACAGCTTGGCTGGTGATCAGTCCCCATATAAATGTCGCGTTCCTATAAAATTTGTTATTAAATGCGAAGCATTTCTTAGGGAACTTCTGCGACTTTGAGCGTATCTATCTACCTCTCTATCTAGCATGCAGCCTCTCACTAATAATTCTCCTGGCTGTATCTATAATGGTATCGATACCAAAATTGGTGTGAGATATAACGTGACTGTATGAACAGCATAAATGAGTAGTCATAACATCTGGACATGTGTGTCATGAATAAAATGATATACATTTTATACTCTTCCTGCTCTTGCGGGGATTTCGTTCACATGACATATTGCAAAACTAGTATGGTATGACATGACTGCATTGCAAACACAAGTGACAGACACTAACGGGGGAATCATGACATGCATGTCATGTAAGTCATTACTACACGCCATGCTCATGGATGGTGCGCTTGCGCTCGTTTCGCTAGCTTCACATATACCAAACTTGGTATTAGAGGACGTGAGTAGATGACGAAACTATGTGATTGGTGCAAACATGATAATCAGGAGATGCGTGCCATGTAAGAACATGACTGCGTGCCACGCTCATGATGCGCTCGAGGCCGTTACGCTAGCTTCACATGTACGAAATCCGGTATTACGTGACGCGAACGGACAACGAAGGTAAATGACAATTCTAAGCATGGTAAGCATGGCATGCGTGTCATGTAAAACATTACATGCTACGCTCATAGTGCGCTCATGGCTGTTTAGCTAGTTCCACATATACCAAATTTGGCATCACGTGACGTGAACAGACGATGAAGGCAAATGACACGTCCAAACATGATAATAATGGCATGCTTATCAAGCAAAACATGTCTACATGCTACACTCGCAGCTGTTTCGCTAGCTCCACATACATCAAAATCTGGTATTAAGTGACGTGAATAGACGATGGAGGTATATGATATGCTCTAACATGGTAATCGTAACATGGAAGTCCTGTATGGCATAATTTACGTCAGCCTTGTAACGTTGTGCTGATTTTAAAGAGACATATCAACCTTCATCATGCGTTCTTCGCATATCATTGATTCTCACTGTATCCGGGATCACCCATTTTTTTTCGTTTTATTAATGACAATTCAGGTAACACGTATAAAGCGCTATACTCACCCAATAACCAAGAATGTCACTACAACAGTTGACACGAATCCAGTAGTACGTATGTCATCTGGGTACCCTCGCTTACTGTAAAGTTACAAAGAAAGGCAGTGGTAGGTTAATAAATACTTTTTTTTCAACAATTCGATCATTTTGTAGCAGCGCTGTGAAATGATACCTACGCTGTATGGCTGAGCGCCAACGAAAAGCTGCAGATGAACTGAGCAGCCATACCAACACCCGTGAACGTCTGGGAGACGTAGACCATCCAGAGCTGCCTTGAATAAAGACAAAAAAAATGATTTATCATAATCAGCTTTTTTTTCTTCTTTCTTGAATAGCGCCACGATAATTTTACAGTCAAAGTGGTCCTGAGGTTCTGCCATTGATGCAACCAGCGCTGTATATTTGATTTCGTAATGTTTGGAACAGGCAAAATTCTTTTGTTAAAAGAGATAGTGAAGAAAAAATGGGAAAAACTGACAAAATTTCGTAACTCTACTAGGAAGATGTGAATATTCTGATAAACACAGTTAATTTCTCATATTTTTTAACAGTTGCCTGCACCTATTAATGGATTATCAGCGCGCGACGCCCCCACGCGTGTGGGAGCCGTGACGTCATATTCGGTGAGGCGCAGCCAGAGTGCACGAGTTTCCGTTCTTCTCTTCATTTTCTCTACCTCTCCTTTCATTCCCCTCTCCCGCTTTCACAAAAGCGCTGGTGCTTGCTTCAGCCGGGAGCATTGTTCGCAACTAATGCAATTCATACCGGTTCTGGAAACCGGAGAAGGGGGGGGGGATGAGCGAGTCCAGACTGGAGAGACGCAAGCGACGGCTGGCATTGTTGACTTGCACGTTTCGGTTGGGTTTGACGTCACCAAACGTGACCTTCTGTAGTTTACGGCAGGGCCGCTGGACGGGGCAGTTTGTAAAAAACGCGTCGGTTCGGACTATCACGGTGGATGGACGTGTTTTTTGAGCGCTCCCGATCGACTGCGCAGATAAGTGGTTTTGCATGTTTTGAGCTTGTCTTTATAACTATAAGGCAGCAGTTAAAATCTTTGGAGCACCTATTACATTGTACGGCTTTTTCGGGGGTCAGTCACCAGGTATTTATTAGTTCGTGCGCGTGTGTGTGTTTGATTTTTTTGTTTTCTTCTCTTACCACCCCGTGGGGGACGTGCACGTACATTGAACACGCAAATTTTTGTAGTAGAGCTTAGACTTTCTCTTTTTCGTAGGGTAGGGCTCGAGGTTTCTAATTATTGAGTGAGACAACTCATAGGGACAATTAGTGTCAGAAGGACATGGTTGAAAAGACTGTAAAGTGTTCAGGATGCGGGGTGGGTTTGAAAATGGACGCAAGTGTAGAAGCGGATGGGGAAGAGGCAGACGCGAAGTGTAGGCAATGTGAGGTCGAGGAAAAAATGGAGAAAACGATGGTTGCCCAGAGTGAACTGCTGATGAGAATCACCGAGCTGGAGACTGCATTGGCGACAGAGCAAGAGAAAACGAGGGCAATGGGAGAAAGGCTGAAGTCCGCCTAGGAAGCACTAGCGAAGCTGAACAAAGGAGCGGCTTACGGAGAGAACAGTAGGGAACCGGCAACCAGAATGGCGGAGAAAAAAGAGCAAGCAAGTTTGGAAAAAACAGGTTCGGCCGGTTCAAGTGTCCCAAGGCCCAGCTTCAGCGAAGAAGTGGTGTGGCCGGGAGAGGACAAAGCAGCCGGCGTTACAGGTGCAAGTAACCACCAGGTGCAGGATGATCCAGCTGAAAAGTCACAGCATGTGATATTTGCCGGGGACTCGAATTTAAATCGATGCACAGAAGCAATCAAAGCGAGGGCAAGAGGTGACAAGAGGGTTGTAGTAGGGGCGTTCCCAGAACGCAAGCTGGAAGCAGTCATGAGGCAAGCGAGCGCAAAAATCAAAACTACAGCTGAAAGACGAAACCTCGTGATAATTTCAGGTGGTTTAAACGATGTCTCAAACGGAGATACAGCAGGACTAGCAACCACACTGGCGAAAGGGGTCGATAAAATGCGTGCCACTTCTCCTTACGTACAGGTAGTGGTATGAACGATACCGGAGGTACCGGTGCGTGACAGCAACCTGCAAAAAGCGGTTGTCAACGCAAACCAAGAAATATGGCGGATGAGTCGAGAGAAAGGCTTTGAGGTGGTGGAAATAAATAGAGAGGTGCATAGGTGGGGTGGTTTTCAACGAGACAGAATTCACTTCAAATGTCGGCTAGGTCATGAGGTTGGGTTGGCGACTTGCAGGACGCGTAGTAGCTTTTTTGGAGGGCACGCAGGCTCTTCGGGGAGCAGGATAGCTAGTAACGAGGAAAACAACCAGGGAGACTCTTTGACGGTCGTATGGACAGATACGATTCCAAAGTGGCACCAGTATCTAAGATAGGTAGAGTCCGGGGCAGAAATAGACGTAGCCACGAGCGCCGAGCCAATTCAGACATAGGGTATATTAACATGCATGGTGGCAGGAACAGTCTGAAGTGGGAAGAGATAGAAGAACAGCTAAGGAAGGATAGGCCGATGGCATACAATTTTGTAGAAACACATCTTAGGGACATGGAACAACCTCCTAACAATCTGGACTATGCGTGGGAATATTGTAATAGGACAGAAGGCAGCAGAAAAGGGGGTGGTATTGGGCATTCATTCATAAAAGTACGGACTGGCAAAGGGTCAAGCAGGAGTGCAAGGAACATTTATGGCTGAAAGGGAAAGTGGCAGGGCAAACGACACTCCTTGGTTTTGTGTACTTGTGGACGGGAGCAAAGGCCAGAGAGAAAAATCAGGCAATGGTAGAGTGTATATCAAGGGACATTCAGGAGTTAGGAAGAGAGTGCGAGATAATCATACAAGGAGATACGAATACGCACATAGAAGATATAGATGGGTATACCGACCCGACAAGCAAAATGATCATGGATATGTGTAAAAGGCATGATTTGATCATTTGAAACAGTAACAAGAAGTGAGAAGGGCAAATAACATGGGAGGTAGGAAGGCTCCAGTCGACGATAGATTACGCACTGATGTCACATAGGATGTATGATAAGCTCAAGGAATGCACATAGATGAAGGTGGTTCCAGAAGTCTAGGTAGTGATCACAAACGTATCAAGCTAAGTTTTGGAACAGCAGTGAAAGTGGGAAGGAGACAAGATAAGCAAATACAGGAAAATTTTTATTCAGAAAGGCAAATAGAAATAGCTACTAAACAAATTGAGAAAGTAATCACTGAGGATAATAAAACAGTGTGAACATACACGAATCTATTTAGACGGTTTGAGCCAGGGCTTGATAAGGCACGTGACAAGCCACCCCAGAAAAAAAGACACAAACCCAAAAGTTGGTGGGATGGGAAAGTTAAGAGAGCCAGACATGCTAAGCAGTGGGGTGAACCGAAAGATGATGTTGAAAGAAAATGGGAAATCTTTCTAAGCTGTAGAAGGAATGCATCCCCTCTGAAGAATGAAAAGATAAGAAGAAATGGAGCTCAGTGGCTGGCAGAAGTACATAAAAAATAGAAAGGCAGCTGCGAAATTTTGGAACCATCTAAACTCCCTAAGAAAGGAGACGAGCCTAGAGCAGAGGTTTATAACTACGGCTCAAGGTGCTAGGCTGGGAGGGGACGCAGCTATTGAATATATAAGAACAAGGGTGACAGAAAAGTTTCAACAAAGAAGTGCTTTATGCACCACAATAGACAAGGATGAATCAAGTGGCGCAATGGCTCCATTTTCACAACCAGAGTGAGAAAGGGCTGAGAAAAGGGTTCCTAGTAGTACATCAACAGGCCAAGATGGCATCCCAATTATGCTGATAAAGACATTAGGTCCGAATTCTAAGCAGGCTTTGAGAGAGGCAGTGAGCAAAATATTAATCGATGGTGAAGTCCCCGATGGATGGAAACTTAGCAAGATGAGCATGATCTATAAAGGAAATGGGGACAAAGCTGACATAAACAACTACCGTCCTATAACAGCGATACAGTGGTCTACAGGCTGGCAATGCAGATTATAAAGAAAAAACTGCAGACATGGATAGAGGATGAGGGGGTGCTGGGGGAACTGCAGAATGGGTTTTCGAAACATAGAAGGTTGGAAGACAATCTGTTCTCACTGACATAGTGCATCAAAGTAGCAGAAAATTAACACAGGCCCCTGTGGCTAGCATTTTTAATATCAAAGGAGAGTACGATAGCGTGGTTCAAGAGTAATTGTGGGGAATACAGAACACACTAGGCGTGGAAGATGGAGTCACTAATATTTTAAAGGATAGCTATAAAGGTAACAAGGTAGTTATAAAGTGGGAAAAACAGGTATCCAAGCTTGCAGAGGTGAAATGGGGGCTTCGGCAGGGGTGTCCTATGTCACCCTTATTATTAATGATGTACCTACAAGGATTAGAGGCCAAATTGGAGGGATGTGGACTGGACTTCAACGTCTCTTTCGTCAAACAAGGAAAACTCACTGAACAGGCACTACCAGCATTGATGTACGCAGATGATATAGTGCTAATAGCCGGCAACAAGGAAGATTTGCAGAGATTGATGGACATCTGCGGTAATGAAGGAGATAGGTTAGATTTCAGATTCAGTAAGGAAAAATAAGCAGTCATGATTTTTAATGACAATGAAGGTAGTGAGCTTAGAATACAGGAGGTCACGCTAGAGATAACAGATGAATACAAATATCTGGGCGTATGGATAAGCAATTGTACCGAGTACCTCAGGGAACACGAAATATACGTGACGACTAAAGCAAATAGGAATGCAGCGGTGATGAAAAACAAGGCACTGCGGAATTACAATAGGTGTGATTTCGTGAGAGGAATATGAAAAGGGGTCATGGTTCCTGGTCTGACGTTCGGGAATGTGGTCTTGTGCACGAGATCAGAAGTTCAAGCAAGATTAGAAATTAAGCAGTGTGGAAAAGGTAGGCTTGCCTTAGGAGCTCATGGGAATACACCAAATCAGGGAGTACAAGGTGATGTGGGATAGACATCATTTGAGAGCAGGAAAGCTAGCAGCAAAGTAAAATTTGAGAAGCGATTGAGAGAAATGGGGGGGGGGGGAGCATTGGGCTAGAAAGGTATTCAGATACTTGTACATGAAGAATGTCGATACAAAATGAAGGAAGCGAACGAGGAAAGTGACTGGTAAATACTTAAAAAAGAGCAGGTGGCCGAACCAAAAAGAACTATCGTTTAAGAAGGAAGTGAAGAAAACGGAGACAGACATGTGGAGAATTGGCATGATTAAGAAGTCTGCACTAGAGATCCATCAAGTTTTTAAGCAGAAAATTTCCAAGGAAAGGATCTATGATAATACTCGGGGTAGTTCTCTACTTTTTGATGCCAGGAAGGGAGTATAGCGAAGCAAGACATATCGGGCCAAATACGAAGGGGTAGACACGGTATGCAGTGCGTGTGGAGAGGAGGAGGAAACTGCCGAACACTTGATAATGTTCTGTAAAGGTCTTCACCCTATAGTTCAGCATGGTGGCGCAGAGTTTTTCAAACCACTGGGGTTTAGAGACAGAGAGGGCAAAATAGGCTTTAAGCGGGTAGAATTAACTAGAAGAAGGTTATCTGATTGGTGCCTAAGTGAAGGCACGAGTGAAAATTAAACCATTCACTGCAAAGTACCAGTCCTCAACTAAACTACTTAAAGGGACAACAAGATGAAACTAGTGGTTACTTCAATAAGTTTTACGGCTAGGTGGCGTTAGTCGCCGCCCGATCTAAAGGGTACAGCCACATCCATCCATCCATTCATCCAGCGTCTGAAAAACGCGCACGACGGCACAGACACGGTGTGTAGTGCGTGTGGAGAGGAGGAGAAAACGGCTGAGCATTTGATAATGTTCTGTAAAGGGCTCCACCCTTTAGTCCAAGATAATGGCGCGAAATTTTTCAGAGCATTGGGGTTTAGGGATAGTGAAGGCAAAGTAGACTTTAAACGGGTAGAAATAATCAGGAGGGGGCTAACTGATTGGTGGCTACAATCAAGGCGTGAGTGAAATTCAATCCTTGAACACATAATGATAATACTTAACTTTATGGCTAGGTGGCCTGAGCCCCCGCCCGATATAAAGGCACAGCCGGATCCATCCATCCATCCAGTGTTACATTCATTGTTTTCCTATAGTTTCTGCCTGGAATGAAGGTTATCTCTATCGATTTCAGGACCCAATCATTCAGTTTGGTTGAAAATCATGATAGTGAAAATTTGGTTCAGTATCCATTTAATAATCTTCCCCCAGTAAAGATTGAAGGATAAAAATCAAGGCAGCTTCGCACTAGTGCTGCCAAGCCTGAAGCAAGTGTGGAGGCTTTGTCGTTTCTTTGTCCATGTTTTTCTTCCCCCTTTCTTTCCTTCTCTGTCTTTTTACACGAAAGTGTTTTATGCCGTGGTCTGCCATGGCTCCGCTGATGTATTTCCGTCACGTGAGTGACGTGGAAGAATATTTACTATTACAGAAAGAAAACCAGGAAGCTAGCATCTGTAGCGCAGATTCGAACCAGCAACCTCTGGTCTTCCAACGTGGGGCACTAATCATTACGCTACAAAGCGTACGTTGTCTGGCGGGCTATCAGAAGGCCATTTATACACACCATGCACCGTTTGGCAGTCCTCAGAGCTTCGAAAGTTTAACTGCTTTTTTTTTTTATCAGTAACGAGATGGCGAGGCAGGCTTGCTTGCGTTGAGCGTGCTCTAGAGGGCCGTCGCCTCCACGAAGCATGGTCTCTGCTGCGCGCGCGCTTATCAGGCTCGTCATTCGGGGAAGGGCGAAGGTGGATTCGGCCGCTGCCACGGCCGCGTTTACGACACGTGACGCATGACGCAGGAATAATTGTGACAGTTGTTCGCGCTTGTCCTGTTGTATACGTACTTGCGCGCTAATTTCGTGCCTGTTTCTTTCTGCTTGGACGGCGCGCTTCAAGTGTCCATGAGTGACAGTGGTTTGCCTGCGCTTGTCCTGTGTATTATAATTTCGTACATGCTTTCTGCTTGAGGTGTGCGCTTCAAGTTTCGAGCTGCTTGCCGTTCCTAACGTGACTTAGCGATTTCCTGGAACAATGCACAATAAGTGCTCAACTGCCTCGGTAGAGAGACGTTCTACTTTCGTGCTATACTGATCCTTATGTACGGGGATCAGCCACTTTTTTATTTATATTTATTTATTCTTCTCACTTTATTTCTATTTCTCGCTTGTTCATCTTTGTTCCCACTTGTTCTTTTCGCTTTATCTGGCACTTGTTTCCTTTTTATCTCAATTTTTATTCGGGGTTTCGCTTGCGCTACGCCAAGCACACTAGTTGCTTTTTTTTCTGATGATGATAAGTGAGCGCATGCTCGCGACATTGAGAAGTCTACTTCTTCGTGTTCTTCGAGTGCCTTGATGATGATCACTTACGCTCATCAGAAAAAAAAGAACTAGTGCGCTTAGCGTAACGCAAACAAAAACGCATACAAAGTGTATCAAAAAGGGAAAGTATGCATGAAATTTGAAAAAAAGGGGAAAATAGGATAAAAAATAAAAGGAGCTAGAGGTAGAAATACATGAAGAAAAGTAAAGTGAAAAGAAATAAAAAAAATGAAAAAAGGTGATAAATAAAAACATTGAAAGGAAGAAAGAATTAAAAGAGAGAATGAAAGAAAGAGATAATTAACCGAAGATAAACAAAGAGGGCTGCCCAGCTCCGCACTTCCTTCACTCTTGGCACCGCTAGTGCGAAGCTGTCCTTTTTTTTGTTTTTTGACTTATTCGTCACTTCTGCCAAGGAATTTGGCGAATCATGCAATCTGTATCGTTTGCTGGCAGGCCACTTGATGATAAATTGTCTAGAATTATGAAAACGCACAGACGTGCGAAAATGGCAAATAATAGACGGGACAGAGTGCAGTTACCTGGTTTGTTGAACCTTAGAGCTTTGTCGATAAAGGTCAGGTGGAGGTATTTTGAAACTTGGCAATATATATTGTAAATTTTATGCATATGCACGCAGTCAGTCATAATGGATGTCACAAAGCAATAATCAGTGGACTGTTTATATGCGAGCAATGCCTTCGATAGTGAAGATTTGTGTGGGTACTGTGTTGGTCGCTTCTCTATCACATTCGATAGGAAGTTGCTTTCACGATAGCATATGGGACGTTAAACGGTGGGACAAACAGTGTTGCGTGTAGTGTTTGGAGTACCGACGAAAGTATCGAACACATGCTGTGCCACTGTCCTCGTTTTACCTCGGAAAGACGAGTACTTTGCAACACACTGCAGTGACAGGATGATTGGCTGCGTAATTTCTGCTGCAGCATCATCCACATCTCTCGACGGCTCACAGGGCAGTGAAGGCCCTCTTGTGCTTTTTGAGAACGACGGGCTTGTGTGAACGCCTCTGACATGCGGTGAAGTTCCGCACGCAGCATCACATTCACTGCCTATCTCTTTTATCTCCTTCTCTTCCACCTTCCCTCTTTCTTACTTTTCTATTCCCCTTTCCGCAATCCCTCCGTGTACTGTATCCAACCGAACATCTTTCTAGATAACCTCTTCTCCGGTTTTCTTCCTTCCTGGAGCTTCGTTCCATCTCTTTCGTTGTTGTTGTTGTTGTTGTTGTTGTTGTTGTTGTTGTTGTTCGTTTATGTGGTGTCGTACTTATGAACGATGTGAAATTTACTTACGGGTCTTGTTGAACAAATGGTGCTGGGCCAAGTATCAGGTAGGCGAAAGCCGTCATTAGTTGACCGGTAAAAGCAAAAAATGCTGCCATCTATGTGAACATGAAAACAAAACGGGAGCACTTCTTTAGTGGACATATTACTGTAGCAATTGTCATTTTAATGCATGCAATCAGCATTGCACAATATAAACTAGTTACTAATGCTGAGCTGTTAGAGGGGCAATGCTTCGGCCTTCTTATTATTATTACCGGTGTCATTACCATGACGTATGCTCACTTAATGCCTACCCCGCTATTGGATTAACTTTCAAAGGTAATGAAGATGCGTCATTACAGTGTAATAAATAATAAAAAAATAATTTTTGTTGTTTAATGTCTAGAAACCACCCTATGATTATGAGAGACACCGTAGTGAATAGCTCCGGAAATTTAGACCACCTGGGGTTCTTTAACGTGCACCTAAATCTAAGCAGAGGGGCCTCAAGCATTTTCGCCTCCATCGAAAATACGGCCACCCTGGCCGGGATTCCTAGCTGAGAAACCTGTCAAGTTCACAATTCTGTAACTGCTGGTAAGACATTGTAGAAAAAATATTTGAAGCGATAACTTGTTAAGATAAAACGCATTATCTGTACACGTTCACTTGTCTGTTCGGATTGATATTGTTTCTAACAAAAAAAAAAAAAACGAGCCCTTAAGTTCACACTTTTTTCAACCTTAACCCCTGTTGCTTTCGGATTCATTCAGGAAAGAACGCAGTGTCGTACATAGTTTCCGTTGAAAGCGTCTGATTTATCTACCGTAATGTGATGCATTGCTCTCGCTCCAAAATAATCACTGCTGGACCAACAAGTTGTGGATTTTTTTCATGTCTTTACCTTGACGTAACAAAACAGTCCCGCGAATGCCGCTCCCACGGTGTAACTTGCAAACTGTACCATGTACAGTACTCCAAGTCGCGTGCTGCTGAGGCTGAACTGCAAGAATATCGCCACAAGAACAAAAGTTAGAACAATACAGTCACTTGCTGAGTTCACATAATGGTCTGACATGTTTCTCTTTTGGAGTTTTATTAATGTTCTTGTGGAGATGCAAAGTTGCTGTGTCTCTGCATATGTTGGATAAGACACTATATTTCAGTACTCCATGGTGAATTAATGCTTCCAATATTACTGGTGTCTATTTTGAGTCACATGCCTTTGCGTAGTCTATGAAAGCATTTAGAGGGGTCTGCTGTACTCAGTTGTACAGGACCGAGTTGACTGGCGAAACATGGGAGAGGCCGTTGTCCTGCATTGAACGTGGTCAGGATGATAATGATGATGATGATGATGATGATGATGATGATGATGTACTCTGCTGAATTTAAAAATTTTAAATTATCTAAGTGTATAGGCGTTATGCGAAATTGGCCCGCCCGTGGTTTACATTAAAAGGAAGCAGTAACAAAAAATTGTAAAATACTGTTGAGAAATAAATATATTGTCATAAGTTAAGGGTTTTATTGCGAAGAAGTAGTGCTTGTGGTGCGGTCAAAGAAGTCTTTTGAGTTGGAGTTTTAAAACAAGAAGATTGTTAGGTCTTGTGTATTAATGAACTGATAGCATGTCTTAAGATTTTAGCAATGAAATAACGTAGAATGACTAAATGAGAGAATTGTAATGCCTGACAATGTTATCTTTGAACTGAAGTAAGGTGAGTGCTGCATCTTCTTAGCAATAATAAGCAGTAATGTATAGTGCATTGAATAAGCCGGACCACTGCAGTACTCTGAATGGCAATTCTACGTGTGGGTAGGTACACACCTGTCTCAAGTATGGTTCCAGGGTGGGTTCATTGAAGCCCATGATGACCCAAGAAAGCATCAGTGTTACCATGTTGACCATGAAAAGTGGGTCCCAAAGCAGTCGATAAAGCTTTTTCTCCGAACCTTGGGCCAGCATTAAGGCCCCTTCCGGTGGCGCTGAAGAGGGTGTTCAAAATGAAGTCAACAACATGGCACTCATTCGTCTCATCAAGCAGGGCTTAGCAGATAAACACATGGTTAGACTCATTTATAATTGTACTCCTAGCTTTCTTGCAATGCAGTTTGCCCAACTAACGGCAGCTAGTCACCTTTGCAAACGGCGCTTTCAAGCACAGACTGCTTGTGATATAACGCTGAACATAAAAACTCAGCCTCACTACGTGCAGCACGTGCAGCTATAGGGCCCCAACTCTACTCCAAGAACGAAAATGTGCAGCGCTGGGCAGCGCGTTCGGGAAATATGAAAAATATCAGCAGAACACTATGCAAGTCAGCTGGGAAAAGGGATCCTCGTCATAACCAGTGATCTCCTTCGAAATATATATAGAAATGAAATCTGTAGAGCCAGACCCAATAGCGTATATATGTACTTATGACAAGATGGTTGTATTGTTTCTGTTATATTATGTCTACGCTTTCTCGCGTGGGAACCTTGAAATAATAAGCAATTCTTTTTTTCATCAGTTGGTTTTGATATTGTTAGAATCACATTTTTTGGATGCACGGCGGGAAATCGGCCACTATAGTTTTAAAACGCTAGTCTGAGTTTGTAATGCATTAGCATGGAGTTGTCCTTTTCACCCACGTTCATCTTTCTTTACGTCGTGATTACCACATTTCAATTACATGCTGTGATTGATACTTTTTATGCTTCATTCACGAATTCATTATCTTCTGAGTAATATGGTTGGGTTCAACCAAAGTATACTGTACTACATTATTTCATGGCTGTGACGGTGAAGGAGCAGCTAACGTCGAAGATTAAGTTATTTATTGGGTGAATTTGCATAGAGTAAAAGCAAGTAACAGTTGCAGTACGAACAAAGTGACAAGGATGGTCGCTGGTCGTTATAATGTGATCGTTCGTGAAGCGACTCGACTTCTATGAATGTGTGATCAAAATGTCCAGAGTTAATGCAAATGGCTGTGTCGGTTCCAGAATAAATTCATCTACTTGTACCATGCGCGGAATCCCTTTAGGAAAGCCTAAAATAATCATAAAGATCCCAAACATGTCATAAAGACCTTCACTGGTTGGTGACTACACATGTAACAAGTTTCAGGAGTGAAGCTCGCTCACGTGAAAATAAAGAAGCATGTAATATACAGCACCATTTCTTGATGCATTTGTATTTATTTATGGCGACTGCAGTGACGACTTCAGTGCAGTAGTAGTGAACGCATCTATGTCTCACGCCGACTGAAAATGTTGTTGCCAGTTACATTATAGAATATGAAACGATCGTATATTTAGGCCGCACTTGCGTGTTGCTCCATGACAGCACTGCAGATGCAGAAAGAAGTACGCGCTTACAGAAGACGGCTACAATCACGTAGCTGATGGTATAGTGCTCACAAAAAGTGTGGCATGCAGACCAAAATACTACCTGCCTTCAGGTTGTTTGTTCGGTACTTTCTTGTGCTTGATAATCCAAGGAATCGACAGGATGATTATGGTACCCAGGACAAAGAACGGCAGAGGATATTCCCACAACTGCGACAGAAAAAAAAATGTTCTAGTGTGGTCATTAGAATTCAAGATTATTTCAAGGACAGCGTTAAGCAGTCTGCGACTGAAAGCAGAATGGGACCACTTTTCGCGATTTCTGGATGCAAATATGCTATCATGTAACGCATATCCATTAACATTTTTTCAAATGAGTTCTGTGGAAACTCTGAATGAGGGGGAAGGGTTAAGAAATAGAAAAAAAAAGACAACCATCCGTTTGTAGCACGAAGCCACAAATAAATTTATACGGATTTCTAAAGAAAAACCCCCTTAGTTGCCGAAATATTTGTCCAGGTCTGGGGTCTAAACCCGGGAACAGCGCCATTCCGGGGCGGTCGCTCTGTAGAGCGACCGATTGCTAGAGCGACCGCCCTGGAAAGGCGTTGGTCTTGGGTTTGAACCCCAGACCAGGACAAATATTTCGGCAACTAAGAGGCTTTTCTTTCTGAAAAATTTGTATAGATTTACTTCTGGCCTCGTTCTACAAACGAATGGTTGTCTTCTTTATCGTTCTTCATCTATAAACAGGTTAAGTCGCTGTAGACAACATTTCTACAGAAGGTATTGTGTCCGTACGAACTGACTGTCTCATTTATGTGTATTGCACATATATTTTTTAATTTTTGTATACGTGCTGTGTATTTTGTAATATTTATCTGTAAACCTACAGCAGTTATTTTTCGATCCTATTCTGACAATTCTGAACGTGCGCATACGCCCTAGATGGAGCAATAAATTTAAAAAAAGGAAAAAGGAAACTTCGTGCATACATCGATGAGGGCTCCTCCGAGCACAGAACCAGCCATGTTCCCGCATCCAAACATGAATTCCATGATGGCCTATATTTGTAAAGACAAAAGCAAAGCACGTGTTGGCGTGATGCATCTTTGTGTTTTTACTTTATCTCTTTACTTTTTTCTGCAGATTTTTTTTCAGAAAGTTGCAATGTTTACAAAGATTACGATATACGCTTCTGTGTTTGAAAAGAGCAATATGAAGGCAAAGAAAAGAGGTGCGAAAAGACGAAAAGAGATACCAACCAATTTTTGTGAATGTTTATGACGCACTGAGATTCCAGAATTCTCTCAATCGATTGGGCCGAAAAAACAGTACTATATTGTTTTTATAGCCCAACGGAACAGGGAGCTACCGAAGGTGATATCCACTGGAGACTAATAGAGAGAGACTGCACTTCGGTGAACCATGTGAAGACAGTGGCGCCTGAATGAAATGTTGTGCTATAGCAAAGCATTTCCTCTTAGGTTAATACGGCTAAATGACGCACCACTGCATGGGCAGTTTTTGCCTTTTGCCTTTACAACTAAGCGGTATTTTTCAGGGACCGAGACCTGAATAATTTAATTTAATATGTACATTCTATGAAATAGTCGGTATCTGCGTCTGTGGAATAGGGAGTGCTTCAAAAATGACATTCGTGTCTTACCGGACCACTGATAGTGGCTTTCGCCAGAGCGTCCACGATTTCATTAATTTTTATTTTATAAAGCCCCGGAACCCAGATCAATCGGAACAAAGTTATATGAGTTATATGCTGCTCGCTGTGGGCACATCTTCTTCTTCAGTACTTCTTTATTCTTCACATTTTCTTTAATGAGACCCGGAGAATTGTACCCCCATTTTGTAGAAGGAGGATTGCGGGCCGCTCCCACGAACAGCTTTATTTTTATATCCGGGGTCTCTCTCTTTTTTTGGGATCTCTAATTTTATGATATTTCAACCCTTCATCATCTGCCATAGTCATTCTATCGAAAGTCTGAATATTTTTAGCAATTTATCTAGCGCATTCATCATGTTACCGTGACAACCATGAAATTGTTAACCTGCCACATAAGCCGAGCAGTAATTCTGCAAATGCGAATGATGCAAGCGAATGTCTAAATTTTAAATGCGAAGCATTTCTTCTATCTATCTATCTATCTATCTATCTATCTATCTATCTATCTATCTATCTATCTATCTATCTATCTATCTATCTATCTATCTATCTATCTATCTATCTATCTATCTATCTATCTATCTATCTATCTATCTATCTATCTATCTATCTATCTATCTATCTATCTATCTATTTATCTATCTATCTATCTATCTATCTATCTATCTATCTATCTATCTATCTATCTATCTATCTATCTATCTATCTATCTATCTATCTATCTATCTATCTATCTATCTATCTGTCTGTCTGTCTGTCTGTCTGTCTGTCTGTCTGTCTGTCTGTCTGTCTATCTTCTATCTATCTATCTATCTATCTATCTATCTATCTATCTATCTATCTATCTATCTATCTATCTGTCTGTCTGTCTGTCTGTCTGTCTGTCTGTCTGTCTGTCTGTCTGTCTGTCTGTCTGTCTGTCTGTCTGTCTGTCTGTCTAGCCGCCTGCGAATTTTAGCTCTCCTGGTCATTTCGATAATGGTATCGATACCAAAATTAGTATGACGTAACATGACTGCATGACGAGCATAAGTGACTAGTCATAATATGAAAATCATGATAGTGTATGCAATGAATGTAATGATTTACATTTAATGGTGTTGCTGCTCTTGCAGTGGTTTCGCTCACATGTCAAATGGCAAAACTAGCATGGTATAACATGTTTTCATGCAGTAAATTAAAAAAAAAATACGGTTTCGATTAATTTTCGCCGCAATAATGGACTTATTGCAGACTATCGGGGTTGAAAGAATCAAGTTCTGTTGCTCACAGATCAGACATTATGTGTGGTGGACCATACTTACGATGATGACGCCACTGCTCTGATGCAACTCAGAGGTGACTACTGAGTACGCTGAGACAAGATACACTGTTTGCACGAAGCCGCCGAAGATGACCGCCACCAGGGAGAGAGCGAGGAATACGGTTCCCCCCGGTGACCAGTAAAGGGACCTATACAAAGGAAATCGCATATATGTGCGGTGGTGCGTGAAGACGAGACTTCATGGTCACAGCTTACCCGAATATGACATTGTACAGGAAAAAGCCAACCTGGCCACAGAGGTAGCATTTCAGTGGAGTCGAAAGAACCATCTGAAATAGTTGTGAAAAGTTACTATTAGCATGAAAATTTCCAAAAGTCAGAAGCAATTTTGGTTTACATAACCTGCAACGTTTATCACAGCTTTCACGCCGACCCATTTTTGTTTCTTCGCGCTATGAAGTGCGGGTCCTTATATAAAATCAAGCCATCCTTTGTAAGAAGTATACAGGGCTTGAAGTGACACGAATACCCCCTACTATATATGCTTTTTTTTTTCTCAGCGCAATTTGTTTTATGTGGATAGTTCGTTTTTACAGTCGATACTTTGTTTCCAAGCCCTAAAGTGGTTATGCCTTACAATAAAAACTTCTCTATCTGAAGTATTGGAGTTTGTGCCAAAGGAATCGGACCGTTATTGAGTGAGAAGAAAGTGTCTCTTCAAATTTAGAACGGTTAGTTGAAAACGGTTAGAAGGTATATCCGTTTGCCTGTGTAACGTTTGTCATTCTAGTTAAGTGAACAGAAGAGGACTTCGGTGATCCAACACACAGCTGCATATACTTACAAGCCTTTCGGTGGATACAGATCCAAGAAGCATTGTTAGCTTGAATGTTGAAAACACGAAGCCGTACTTCCACGCTTCGAGACCAGCGTTTGCCGCCTGTAACGTGAAGTTTATGTGAAACAACGAAAGCATTCAAACCATTATGATTCTTTTCCGACCAGCGTTCTTGCCTGTTCACTCATATAGGCTAAACCTAAACACATTTGTAGCCCAGGGTACATAGCGTAACTAATATGAACTTTCAGTAACAAGACACATATGTGTAAATCAGACCAGGATTTTACTTCTGCCACCTAGGTTACTAGACAAACTATGACCTGCTCTCGGCTAGCATGAGTGTCATAACCGATACTTCTACGAAAAATTATGTTGATCACCCGCTGGTGACTTAGTTGCAATGCATGTATTCAAGAAAACCTGCTGTCTTGATTTTTTTTCGTTTCCTTGCAGGGAAAACTAGTGGAGGGATCAGCGATAGGCTTTTTTTTTATAAACAGCTTTTGTCATGACTGAGCCGTTGGTGCAGAACGATGAGTATATAAGGTATATGATGAGAGAGTTCCTTCACTTCTTTGAGTATTCATCGCATTCGTCGGCGCAGCCTACGAAAGCGAAGAAGCTTTCTATTCCTTGATTTGATAAGTCACGTTTCTGCTTTCACTTTACAGAATATGGAGTTTGCATGCTTCATACAAATTGAGTAATTATATTTTTGTCATACGTTCTTGAGTTGTGTGGTTGGCTGACGGGTGCAAAAAATTCAGCCTCTTTGCACATTAGATAACGGATTGACACTTTGTGAGAAGGGGTGAGCCAACATAGAGGCAAGCGGCTACAATTACAGGTGGCATATTAGGGCTTACAGCGTCCCGCCTGATAGATGTTATCTGTAGGGTATCCAAATAACGTTGACGTTAGTACAAAAAGGAGGGCTTTAAAAGGTGAAGAAGTTCTTGAACAAAGGGCGTCACTAATGTCAACGTTTGAATGTTTTGTTTTGTTCGACGTGTTGACTAGTCTTCTTTAGGGCATCGAACATCCCGGCAGTAGCAAGACAAGACTTGAAAACTCTGACTCTGGCGACACACCCTATTCAAGGCTCTTATGTGTGCAGTGGATGTTATGTGCGGTATGTTGGAGACGGAAGCAATCTGTCAGCACTCACGAGGCGAGGATAGTAGGGCTGCATAAGGGAGAATGCCGCAGACACCCAGAAGTGGGTGTGTATAAGTGGCACAAGCCATGTGTACTGGCTAAGCCTGGACAGCAGGCTCGTATTCCTGAGACGGTCCTCGCCAGGTCGCGTGACATTTTCGAGTCCGATGGTGGCGTCCTCTTCGCTCGGGGACGGCAGTTCTCCGAGTTTGCGCTCTCGGTCACCTTCGCCGGGGGAGATGTCGGCACTCGTTCGCGCCGGCGTGCCCATGGCGAACCCTCCGAAGTTAGCGCTTCGTCCGGAGTCTTGTCATTTGCCTGTAGTAGAGGACAGGTCGATGAGTAAGGAGCAAATATAGACGTATAAAAACGAACAAGTGTCGCAGTAGCTGTGATACAAGAAATTGTTTTTTTTTTTTTTGCTTTCTCAGTATGGCGTACTCTCAGCACTCACTCTGAGGTTGTCGTGGCACGATATAAAAGTGCACATCCGAAAAAAAAAAATCGTAGATCCCATGCCTGGGAAACGACGTTCTGCGAAGCGTGCTGAGGTAAGGTGACCAATTTTTTTATTTTATTGATCGACACATCATGATATGACGCTAAATATATGTGCAAATGATGCATTCACAGACATATGTTGAAGAGTTGAATATGTTAATATAACCAGTTGTTTGCACTTGCGGAACGATGCCAACTGGAGCATGTGTATTAGCGTGTTAAAATCGCCCCACCTGGTAAAATCCCTCCAGGGAACTGCAGTACCAACAAATAAATAAATAAATAAATAAATAAATAAATAACACCAAAAGGTATTATGAAGTGCTGATGCTTGCCAGGATGCTGGTGTGGACACTGCTACATAAATCAACTTCAGAACATGGTAACATACCACAATTGACGTTAACCCGACGTGACGGCTGCATCGAAAAAGTACATATGTAATGTTCATGAAATTGGGTAGGTAGCACGGCAACCACTATTGACGTTTCACGGAGATTAGCGTCTTCTTGAAAAGTAGTTCCGAGACATGGCGTATATAGCGTTGGGGTAAAATGCTTTATTGTCAGGAAGAAAGCTCGGGCTCGATTCGAGCTAGGACCCTGACATTTATTGTGTGCATTCATTGGGTCGACGCTACCAATGTCGGATATTTCTCAACGCTCCCGCGTTAAAATTGCCCATATGTGTTCTCGTCGTTCCTGGGTAGATACTAAGTGTCAGTTTATCAACCAAACAGACCTGTCCAACCGTTTATAGACAGTTTTTTTTACTCATACTCGTTGTAGTCTTCGTCATTTTTTCCCCTTCCTCATCTTCTTTCCTCTTTCTCCCCTCTAATCTTCGTTTGCCCTATGTCTTCCCTCCTCACGAAAGAGTGAGCAGGCGTTGTGCCCCTCCAGGTGGCAGTTGCCAGCTTGCTCTTTCCCTCTTTCCTCTGTGTCCTTGTGTATCTATGTATGCAAATCAAATAATTAATAGTAAAATAAATCACCTGTGACACATACCTGCATACCAGCGGCACATACCAGCCCATGGGTATGTGCCTCTGTCTGGCGGGAAGTGTTTGACCACGTACGCGACGGTATTTTGACATCATTCATGTCCTGACCAGCGCGTCATATTCGTCAAACCATCTTACCCTCCCATGCTAATTTTGGTTCACGCCAAGTTAAGGGGGTGACCACGAGAGCACCCAAACGTAAGCGGCTAAATAGATAGATAGATAGATAGATAGATAGATAGATAGATAGATAGATAGATAGATAGATAGATAGATAGATAGATAGATAGATAGATAGATAGATAGATAGATAGATAGATAGATAGATAGATAGATAGATAGATAGATAGATAGATAGATAGATAGATAGATGCGCTCAATGTCTCCAAGTTCGCTAAGAAATGCTTTGAATTTGAAAATAATAGTACATAAGAACAGACAAACATAAGCACTGGCACCAGTTTACAAAATCTGCACCATAAGTGAAAACGCGCTCATCTTCGTATATTCGAATGGAGTGAGAAAAATACAAAAATGATTATGTGTATCATCGCATTTTTTGATGAATAAATATTTCAAAGGTGTTATTAAAGTGAAATATTTGTTTTTAGCGGATGCACATCATGAAATTACCAGCTAAAATCAGTAATTTGATCATTTGCTGCCCATAATCAGCTGGATATCTAAGTAGGGTAGTTATGCTACTCCTAAGATTGCTTGATATAATCTGGGACACATACATAGTGTGTACGCACAAAAACAGATGTGAACAAAAAAAAAAACTAGAGAAGTTGTTGCTAGCCTTACCTGTATTTAACATTTTTTTCTCTCTTACATACGTGTTTGTTGCTAACGTTTGTCATGCGCAATCGTGCGTACAACATCTGTTCCCGCTTTTCCTTGGCCTCTTTCTCGCCATCCTGCTCGCTACGCGTTGTACACGTACTTTGTAGACGACAACAAAAGTGCGTCATTTTGAACGTGGGCTCTTCCTTTGTCTTCTTCTCCTTTGTTTCAAGATTCTTTGGAAGGCGCAGTTGGCGCATTCACAAAGATCTTACAAGAGATATACCCGAAGAATCCCCTACACTCGTCAAAGATTATGTGTATACACGGGTTATCTTTATTTTGAGGACACATCGAATGCTATAATTCTCGTCTGAACAATACACGCGAGCGATAATAACGCCGTTTGTACTTTTTTGTAGCTGTCAGTTTTTGTTTCCGCTCTTAGAGGAGTTGTTTTCCAAATCCTTATGCTTGAGTCTTTCGAGCACGTTTTTCGCGTTAGTGAGAAGTTTCATCAGATTTTCAGTCAATGTGTGTTAGAGCACTTGGCAGAATTAACCGTTCTTTTTACCTTAGAACTTTAGTTTACGTAATTCAAAATGAGCCAGGCTGGTGTTTTTTACGTAAATTTGTTTTTATTAGAAGTAATTGTCATTTTAACAAGGCATATTTGGGGATGCCCTGCTACCTCCAATGCAATACCAGATTGGTGACCCGGTCGTTTCCTATTGAAAATATAATTTATGGAAAGAGACATACATCGACGCCTGGTGTCAACAAATTATAATTTGAAGAGGGAACACTAAATCATATGGCAGCAAGACAAGACGCAGCCATTTTGTACTCTGTGCGTCATAGTGATGTCCTCTTTTCGGACGACTCTGGCACGCAGCATTGCGCTACAGTATGAGAAAAGTATAGAACTATAGTCACACGAGACTTGGACAGTTTTATTGGCAAAAATAAATACTACGAACAAATGACGCTTCAGAAATATATAAAAAAAGTCTAGACGAAACTATATTTAGAAAATATAAAAAATGTGACTGGAGTTCAGACTTTTGATGTTTCTTTATGGTCAGTTCGTTTAAAAGTGAATATAATTGAAAGTCATCATCCTTGGTTACACTCATAGCAGACGCTTGGGGTATTTCTTTCTGTTTTTACTGTAAAGTGTGCTGATAGAATAGTGTTATCACCAAAGGCCAGATATTGAGGCATTAAAAAAGAACCTTTTAGGCACGAAAGATAGGCTAGGGAAAAAAAGTGTTTCAGGCACCAAAAATGCGCAGGCGAAATACATTTTACGCCTCCAACGGGGTAAACGTAGGCACAATAAATTTTGCAACAGTACAAGTAATATGAGAACAAAAACATACACGACCCGTTTTTATGACACGAAAGTATTGATGATTGATTGATATGTGGGGTTTAACGTCCCAAAACCACCATATGGTTTTGAGAAACGCCATAGTGAACGGCTCCGGAAATTTCGACCACCTGGGGTTCTTTAACGTGCACCCTAATCTGAACACACGGGTCTACAACCTTTCCATTTACATCAGAAATGCAGCCGCCGCAGCCGGCATTCGATCCCGCGACCTGTGGGTCAGCAGCCGAGTATCTTAGCCACTAAACCACCCCGGTGGGGCGCCACGAAAGTCAAAGGTTAATGTTCATGATGGCACAGAGGTTTCAACAGTTTATACTATAGCCGTTCGCAGAATGTGGTCTCTTTAATTATTCTCTGTCAAGATGAGTCAATTCCCACTGTCGAATGAACACCCTCCTGGGATTCTTGATCTGCAGTATCGCTCAGAAGGCGGCACAGGAGCAGATAGACAAATGACCAAAAGGGAGAGATGCCTCGCACATAATCGCGAAGGGTTGTTTTCGTGCTTGTTGAAAAGTAAATTGCAAAAAAGAGCTCGCGTGCACCTCACATTTTTACTTTTTTTGCTCTTCTTTCTACTTTTCCTGATGATTCTCCACGATTCCGCATTTGCCAAGCGATTTCGCCACGTCAGCGCGGTGGCGTATTCTGGTTGGCGTGTCGCACTCGAGTGATCCTTGCGGATTTTTTTCGGGACATGGTTTAATTAGAGTTCGGAACTCTAATTTCTTAGAGTTCCGAACAATCAATGTTCGCCGGTAACATAAATAACAACCTGAAACAGCACTAGAAAGCGAAATTCGAGGTTATGGAGTGTTCATATATAACCACCGGCTTTGAATAAAGGCATTCATAGACACAAGCACATACGCCAAAAATAGGCATTCATAGGCATATCAAAACCCCTCTTAACCTTCATGCTCGTATGTATATTGAAAAGGGAGGATAGATAGCAACGCAAGGAACGGAATAAGCATTGGCGTAAAATCTGGTTTCGAGTTATCAGTGAGTCGCTTGGAAGTACTCTCCCAAAAGACAAAAAAGGAAAAGATCAAAACTCACTCTGCTATTCAGACACCGCATCAATAAGCGGCTGCGAACAGCTGCTTAGGGATACGTTGTTGCAGCTTGTTTTCATCCTTCGGCAGGCTCACGTGCGCAGACGGCGCCTGAAGAGAATGGTTTGAGTCACAAGTGTGCCCTACACCGATACCGCTGTGCGTGTTTCTACAAGAAAGACGAGTAGTGTAGTCGACGTACTTTCGGCCCGACTTTCGTGTTCTGCGCAATAACGAGGTTGATTGTAAGCGTTTTCTATTTGTTTTTTTTTAGTTTGCTTATTGCCGCTGTTTATGCCACTGCCACTTTGACTCAAACAAAAAAGCAAACGATTCTGCTTTGAAATGGCCATTATATTGGTTCTCACTAAATAAAGTACGTCGTCATGAAATACATAATGGTATAGTGCACATCTTTTAGCGAACATTTCTCATTGAGTCCCTAAAAGGCACCTCTAACTGCAAAAGGAGGTGTTTAGAAGCTATAACGAACGAAAAGGTTCATCTAAACATCTGATGAAGATAAATTTACTGCCTTAACTCTTGCGACTATGATTGACGAACAAAGCTGAAA